TTCTAGATCGCTTTTGCAGTGCACAAATAGGGGTCACCATGTGGGTTTGAAGAGTCCCAGTTAGAGTTAGACCGATATTTCTGGCAGATATTAATAATTTATTTTTCTTGTATTGGGAATCAGTCGATACCAGCATGCATCAGCTGATTCATTAATGCATTTAGCAGCCTGACAATAAAATCAAATGAAGTTCATGTTTTGTTGCTCTCTCCATCTATTATTCATTGTTGACGTTTTTTTGATTCCCTAAAAATTTTGAATTAAGACTTGGGAAACATTTTCCTTCTTTGTGTCATTTTTATCACATAAATTGAAACTCAATTCTATTCAGTGTATTTCTATAGCTCCAATTCACATCATGTCATCTCAGGTCACTTTCCAGTTCAACCAGATCATCCAGTCTGATTGATTCAAAGTTTACTAAGGAAAACCAGCTGATTGCATCGACTCATTGACTCTTCAGCAATCCCTCACACTAAGCATGCTTGTAGCTGAATTTATCCCATTGCACTTTTCTGAACGGCTGCAACTAACGATTACTTTCCAAACTGATCTGTTGATTATTTTTTTAACTAATTCATTAATAACTGGGTAGCCAAAGGTTCCGTAAATAAGATTTAGGAAATTAAACCATGTGAAACTTAAACTTTTCCACTTAAGGAGTTCTGGATAGAGCAGACAAAACATTTTTTTATGTTACATGCAAAATTATATATATATATATATATATATATATATATATATATATATATATATAATTTTTTTGTTTCTTATTACACTTTTTAGATAATTCCTGCTCTAAGTGAGTCGCTCTTTCAGCATCTTTTACAGTGTCTATACTCCAGTTAACTATTACATGTTCACAATTAAATGTTCACATTGTGATTCACGCTCATATAATTTATTGACTTCATCTAAAAATACCAGATATTTTACATTTATGCAAAGATATTAAATAATACAACACAACTTTAATTATATTATTGTAAAAATTAGGTCATCAAATCAGTGTTAAAACAGGCTGCCTGTAGGCACTAAAATGTCCAGCAGGTGGCAGTATTGAGTGAAACAGAATCTGTAGAGTTTGGCAGCGTTTCTAAACGCCTCTTCCTTTCACCATCACTGAGATTTTATTAGATCAAGTGCTAAAATGCAACCTAAACACCTGTGATCACATGAAGGCAGACAGAAACAGGAAGTCAGAAACAGTTTATCTGGCTTCATGAGCTCAAAGAAGGAAAGAAAGTAAGAATAAACAGAGCAGCTTGATGGAAACTGTCTCAGCAGCTGGTTGGTTAGTCACTTCCTCTAATGAACAGAGGCGCCATATCAGATCTGCTTGCTTCTAAAATTAGAATATTTATTTTCTGCACATTAGACACACTAGATCATTTCTGTCAGTTTATTTAATGGTTTTTCACTTAAAGCTCCTGAAAACACAGTTAGAATGAAACCGAAACAGTTTCTTTCAAATCTGCTTCCAGGTTTTTATTGTTTTCAGATTAAAATAAATAATATAAATCCTGTTGGAAAGGCGAGCTCTGTATTATTGGACAGGTGTGATTAAAAAGGTGTGTGGTTTTACCTGCAGCCACAGGATGAGCGGCAGGTCCTGGTAGCTGTCAGCATAATAGAGCCACCAGAAGATGTGGGCCCCTGGTCTGACCTCCACATAGTCCCACTGCTCCTTAGCAGGCGGCGGGGAGGAGGAGCCTGCAGACACCGGGAGCATTAACCATCTCTGATGGAGCAACCAGCTTTGCTTTCGGTTTACATTCAGCGGAGTCAAAGAGCTTAGAGAGGAAACAATCAAACCAGGAGATCAAGGAAATTAAACCGGATAAATCCGGAAGGTTTACCTTTGGAGACAAGAACAGAGAATAAAGATAATAAAGTGAAGAGTTCAGCGAACTGAGCCATTGCTCCTGCAGCTCTGCTCTCAATCAGCCGCTAAAGTCACATGATGCTGATCCAGTCAGCTGACAGAGGAGGAAGACACGATCTAGGTGCTGCGTCTCTATCAGGGGCGGATTTAGGATATTTGGGGCCCTAGGCAAAGACAGGAAGGGGGCCCCTCTGAATTGAGAAGAAAACACATAAAACAGCCCCGTTCTACGGATAGAGAAATGTTAATAGAATAGACATCCATTATCTGTTCTAGGTTGTGTCCCTTTTCTTCTTGTTTTCCTCTCTATGTTTTGTACTCAGCTGACTTTTCATGCTGTCTCTAAAGGAATGAAAGATTTTTTCCCAGCACTAAGCTCACTTAGCTGATTGCTCCTTCCTGTGTTTCCAAAAAGGCCAAAGTAAATAACCCAGTCCTTCTTTTCACTGTAGACAAGCCATGATCTGCTTATCTGTTCTCCATTTTTCATTTGGATGAAATAATAGCTGCATGAATCATGACAGCAGACAAGATAGAGGAGAGCAGGAGGCGGGGTTACCAATCTACTTGCTCTGGAGAGCAGAGTTCGCTGCTTTTAGATGTTGTCTCCAAAGTCTCCAGTAGCAGAAAAAAGTCTCTAGATTTGGCGCTAGGAGCTTTTTAGAAATCAAAGTGCTAGAGGGGTCTGAAAAGTGGCTAAATATAGCGACTAAAGCGCTAAGTTAGCAACACTGCTCTTTGCATGGTTTGTTTTCAAATGGTTTGCTGCTGTCTGTTTGGACCTTTCTGAACATGTGCAGCAAATGGACTGATCCAATATGGTGGACACTGAAGGGGGGGGGGGGGGCTGAGACACACTTAATATTATCAGCGTTCTGATGGCATTTTAGGAATAGTTGTATTAACCATACATGTAAACAGAATTTTATGGGGCCCCCAGGAACATATTGCCTACTTATAAATCCTTCCCTGGCCTCTACAGAAAATATTTATGGTGCTCTAGTTCTAGTCTAATGGGAGGTGAGTTCTACCTCTTATTCATCGCATTTTTACTCAAGTAAAACTACAAAGGTAGTCATTTTAAAATGATTCATGCAGGCTTAAGATTTTATTCTACTTTTTTATTTTCTTAAAATTGCAAAAAAAATACAAATGCTGGTGTTTATAAGAATAAGATAATGAATATTTTATATAGAGTAAATTCACCGTAACAGATTCAGGTGAAAAAAAAATGTTTTTCAAAAATACATTTTTTTTTATTTAGTTTGTTATTGTAATACTTATTAAATCAGTTTTTAATGCATTTTTTTTATATTGGTCAGAAGAGGGTCATTTACTTTCAGTACAAAAGGACACAGTATGTGGACACAATTTTATTTCAGAAATTTACTAGACCTTGAAATAAAACAGCATATTAATTTGATGAAAATAAGAATAAATCCATGAAGCAAAATAATCATAAACTGTAGTTGTTGTTGTTTTTCTGGTGAGTCGTGTTTTAAAACATGGAGCCAGAAATTTAACTTAAGTGAGAAAAGTGATACTTCATATAAGCACAATGCAATAAAACTACTCCTGTTTTTATTTTAAAAAGTAAATTTAACTAGTGACTAACTAACTAACTAACTAACTGACTGCAGTGGACAGACTTCTAAACATTTAAACAATAAATACAGTACAGAATATTTTACAACCATCAATAGTTAACAGACACCAGAGGAACAGATGTTAGGAAGGAGAAGAACTTAAATAACAAGAAAATGTATGTAAACATGTAAATTAAACAGATAATATGTAAAGTTCTTTATAAATGTTGATAACATTCTGTCTTTACTTCAATACTTTGTTCTGTTTCAACATCAGCAAAGCGTATTATAATAAATTGATTGTTTATCTGTACAATCAATATGTTTCATGATATTAAAATTTGAGTAATAATTAAAGTGAAAACTATTCAAAAGATGAAATTTAATATGATCAGAAAAAATAAATCTGAAGTTTTAATTCAGCGAGTTTTTATTGGATAAATTCCCAACAAATATCAATTCAAAGGATAAAAAAAAAAAAAAAACAATTTAACCAGATCGTCCAATCAGATCAAAGATTCAAAGTTTTTTATCTGAGGAAAAAAAGCTGATTGCATCCAATCAGAATTATTTTGTCCTTGAGGAAGATTTAGTGACACTCGGCTCTACAGCCATCCCTCACTAATGGAGAATCTGTGTGACGTTGAGCTTATTATTGCAGCGACAGTGGAAAGGAAAAACTCTCTTTGAACAGGAAGAAACCTCCAGCAGAACCAGGCCATCTGCCACGATCAAACAAAACAACCAATTAGATTATAAAGCCTAATTTTGATATATTTCAAACATTTATCTGCAAAAGAGAAGCTACTGAGAGAAACAATGAGTAATGGACAAGGCCTTGATTGGTTTATACAATCAACAGTTTTAAGATGTGGCTGATATTAAGAAGTCCTTTAATTTTTAGAGCAGGCTGGACTGAATGCAGCTTAACCACATGTGACAGAAACAAAGATGCAGGTTGTTCAAAGTTTTCACTGATTTATACCACCTGAATTTATCATCAATGATAAGAATATAAAATAGAACTCAATTCAATTAAGCTTATTTCTATAGCACCAATTCACAACACATGCCATCTCAAAGTTTAGAGATTGAACTAACAGATTCTGCAGAGTGGGAAAATAGAGATAGAATGAAGCAGAATGATGAAAAAGGGGTCCCTATGTCCTCCAGCAGTCTAAGCCTATAGCAGCAGAACTATAGAGATAGCTCAGGATAACCTGAGCCACTCTAACTAGAAGCTTTATCAAAAAGGAAAGTTTTAAGCCTAGCCTTAAAGGTAAAACAGAACAGATATATTTTTACTGACCCACAGTGGGACAGTTTATTTAATCAAAAACAAAAGAGGGAAATAAAGTGTTCATGTTCACACAAAACCAAGCTGAAAACAAACAATTCTAAAGGTTAAACTTGACTGTGTAGTGAAGGGAGAAGGAAAGGAAGTGAGCGGCCTGGAGTTGATGAATTACCACCTCCAGGCCACAAGGGGCAGTATCGAAATAGGCGCAGTTTTATTTTGAAGGAACAAACCGGAAGTATTGATGTCCGAGCCTTCCAGGGAGGCATGCATGGTGTTTCTGCATGATGTCTGCCCACAGCAGCAAACTTATTCGCCTCCGCGTGCTGTTTGACTACCCACCGCCCGCCTGCGCGGGCTGCCGCATGTGCTGGCTGCTCGTGGACCTGAACACGTGCCGGGTGGTGGCGGACCTGGAGAGCATCATCAGAGAGCGCTTCGAGTTCAGCCGCAGCAGCATCCTGAGTCTGTTCATAGAGGACTGCTACCTGCCGCACACCGAGAGCATCTACGTGGTGCGGGACAGCGACAGCATCAGGTGCGTGATCCTCACACAGGAAGCTGGTGGAGAAACATCTGGAGTCAGGATCCAGATGTTCTGTTTGGACTGTTTTCCATGGATGGTCTCATCCTAATTAAGACTTCAGTTCAATTCAGTTTATTTCTATAGCGCCAATTCACATCATGTCATCTCAGGTCACTTTCCAGTTCACCAGATCATCCAGTCAGATTGATTCAAAGTTTTCTATCTAAGGAAAACCAGCTGATTGCATCGACTCATTGACTCTTCAGCAATCCCTCACACTAAGCATGCTTGTAGCGACAGTGGAGAGGAAAAACTCCCTTTGAACAGAGACTGCAGAGTTTGAGAATAGAGAGAGAATGAAGCAGAATGATGAAAAAGGGGTCCCTATGTCCTCCAGCAGTCTAAGCCTATAGCAGCAGAACTATAGAGATAGCTCAGGATAACCTGAGCCACTCTAACTAGAAGCTTTATCAAAAAGGAAAGTTTTAAGCCTAGCCTTAAAAGTAGACAGGGTGTCTGCCTCACGGACTAAAACTGGTAGTTGGTTCCACAGGAGAGGAGCCTGAGAACTAAAAGATCTGCCTCCCATTCTACTTTTAGAAATTGTAGAAACCACTAGTAAACCTGCAGATTGAGAGCGAAGTGCTCTGTTAGGAACATAAGGAACAATCAGATCTCTGATATCAGATGGAGCTTGGCCATTTAAGGCTTTATATGTGAGAAGGAGGATTTACTCTGTTGTTAATGAAAAAAGTTTCATGTTAGGGATGCACGATATAATCGGCCCCCTATCGGTATCGGCCTTAAAACTGAATATCGGACATCGGCCACCCCACCGATATTTAACCCGATATTTGATCAGCTTCTGAGTTTCTAAAGTCTAAAAAAAAAAAAATACTACTTCTTCTTCTTCCTCCAAAACTTCTTTTTTTACAGACTTAAAACTTCTAAAGACGATGGAAAAAAATATTGATACATTAAAATATCCCAATATCTTCATATGCTGATATACTCACCGGCCACTTTATTAGGTACCCCATGCTAGTAATGGGTTGGACCCCCTTTTGCCTTCAGAACTGCCTCAATTCTTGGTGGCATAGATTCAACAAGGTGCTGGAAGCATTCCTCAGGGAGTTTGGTCCATATTGACATGATGGCATCACACAGTTGTCGCAGATTTGTCGGCTGCACATCCATGATGCGAATCTCCCGTTCCACCACATCCCAAAGATGCTCTATTGGATTGAGATCTGGTGACTGTGGAGGCCATTTGAGTACAGTGAACTCATTGTCATGTTCAAGAAACCAGTCTGAGATGATTCCAGCTTTATGACATGGCGCATTATCCTGCTGAAAGTAGCCATCAGAAGTTGGGTACATTGTGGTCATAAAGGGATGGACATGGTCAGCAACAATACTCAGGTAGGCCGTGGCGTTGCAACGATGCTCAATTGGTACCAAGGGGCCCAAAGAGTGCAAAGAAAATATTCCCCACACCATGACACCACCACCACCAGCCTGAACCGTTGATACAAGGCAGGATGGATCCATGCTTTCATGTTGTAGACGCCAAATTCTGACCCTACCATCCGAATGTCGAAGCAGAAATCCAGACTCATCAGACCAGGCAACGTTTTTCCAATCTTCTGTTGTCCAATTTCCATGAGCTTGTGCAAATTGTAGCCTCAGTTTCCTGTTCTTAGCTGAAAGGAGTGGCACCCGGTGTGGTCTTCTGCTGCTGTAGCCCATCTGCCTCAAAGTTCCACGTACTGTGCGTTCAGAGATGCTCTTCTGCCCACCTTGGTTGTAACGGGTGGTTATTTGAGTCACTGTTGCCCTTCTATCAGCTCCAACCAGTCTGGCCATTCTCCTCTGACCTCTGGCATCAACAAGGCATTTCCGCCCACAGAACTGCCGCTCACTGGATGTTTTTTCTTTTTCGGACCATTCTCTGTAAACCCTAGAGATGGTTGTGCGTGAAAATCCCAGTAGATCAGCAGTTTCTGAAATACTCAGTCCAGCCCTTCTGGCACCAACAATCATGCCACGTTCAAAGTCACTCAAATCACCTTTCTTCCCCATACTGATGCTCGGTTTAAACTGCAGGAGATTGTCTTGACCATGTCTACATGCCTAAATGCACTGAGTTGCCGCCATGTGATTGACTGCTTAGAAATTAAGTGTTAACGAGCAGTTGGACAGGTGTACCTAATAAAGTGGCCGGTGAGTGTATATTGCCATTTAAAAACACCATATCAATCTCTTTTACTAATGAAATATTGCTATATGTCATCGTTATGCTACGAAATCCCCCGAAAATTCACGAAATGTTGCCATATTTTTATATGTTGATATATTGACGCGGTATCGATCTATTTTACTAACAAAATCTCACAAGAATTTGCAAAATATCAGGAGAGTTTGTAAAAATTCACAAGATTTTGAAAGTAAAATAGATCGATCAACGTTTTTAAAAATCAATTTGATATCAGCATATGAAAATATATTGGAGTATATTATTTTTCAAAGTGTCAGAAATGGATAACAAAACTGCTATTTTCAATGACTACTTATTTTTGTCCAGCTTTAACATCGGTATCGATATCGGTTATCGGCTACATGAGTTTTAAAATATCGGCATATCGGATATCGGCCAAAATCCCAATATCGCGCATCCCTATTTCATGTTGCCATTTTCTCTGACAGATCAAAACATTTAAAGAGGACCCGATATGATACCGATATTGCAGCTTTAAGTCATTGATACTGTTATTGACCCGATTCGATTTCACACAGAAATCATACATTCATTTATAGCATGGTATAGAAAAGAGAAAAGGTCTGAACAGCTGCTGATGAAAACTCTCAGCCATCCAGGTTTAAAGTCATTCTAAAAAGTAAAAAAACAATCCCCTGTAATTAGTTTCTTAGATTTGGACTTAGACAGACTTTATTGTCTTTTTGTACACAGAGTGTATACTAAAATAAATTTCATTCAGTACAGCTCTTGACACATGCATTTTTTCATTTCTTCTAAACAGTTTTAGCAGAAAGTTAACAGTTCAGGTGTTAATTAACAAAAACGTCCCTCTGGTTCTTCCTATTTTATATAGTTAGCATCTTGTACTGTTGGTCGGAGAGCTGAGGGAGAGACCCAGTGATTGACAGCGTCATGTGACCCAGGTGTTCCTCAGGGTTCTGTGTTTGCATTTTCAGAGTAGTGACCTCTCTCTCCTTAGACATGCTGGTGATGAGGTGCTGGTCGCTGGGTGGAAATATGACCCAGTCAAAGGGGAGCAGATTGGATCCATGGATCTGAGGTCTGGTGGTTTATGCGCTAATTAACGCGTCTCTAATTGACATGTTTAATCGTTGACTCTTGTGCAGCTGATGGGTCAGAACAGGTCTCGCTCCATCTGGAGGATGTAAAGTTGTCACGATTTAATCCGATTTTATATTAAATCTGGTTTTGGGGTTAATTTCTCAGAGCTGATAATCTGAACTCATTCCCATAATCTCTCTGCAGTGTTTGGATTAGAATAGAAAGAAATATTAATAAAGTTAAGCTTGCTCTACTGATTAAACTCTACCTATTCACTGTGACGTCAGTAGGTTTCATACAGGAGGTGCATATCCAACAAAATTAAAGCTAGTAAAGCCCTGATATCTGGAACTGAGACGATTAATTAAATAAAATATTATTAGTCAGTTGATTCTTTAAATAATCCTTCACTAATCTGGTTGTTTAATCCTTACATACAGTAAAATAAACAGACTTTAAAATGGCGTTTGCTGAAAGAATAACCTGCTTCCAGGAGTAGTTTATACCGTTAATATGGATGCATAATTAAGCTGTTTTTATTCCAAATGTTTGTTTGTTTAGAGATGTACAAATCTCCACTAATTGATTAGTTGAATAATCAATAACTGCAGTCATCCTCATTAAGATTTAAACCAAAAAGTTTGAATCTAAAACTAGCTAAAGTGAAACAAACCGATATGATTCTAAGCGGGCGTTATTTCACCTGCGTTAGGGGATGATACTGTTTCCATGACGATTTGTGTGGCTGTGAATAGATTGGAGGACCGATGTGTGGCGTTTAACGGCGTGGCTGTGTTTCAGGGTGAAGGTGGAATGTCTTCCTCAGCTGAACGGACACAGCAGCTGTCCAGAGACGCCGAACGGAAACTGGAGAAAGAGGCGAAGGGACACAGCAGAGGATGGACCTGGAGACGGAGCAGGCTCAGCGCACAAGAAGAAGAAGAAGACAAAGAAGCTGGAGGACGGCACAACGGAAGGGACAAACTTAGCCAAGGTCGACGGCAGGAATAAAACATCAGAAACAAAGAAGGCCTTGAAGAAGAAGAAGAAGACGAGGCTATCTGTGGCTAGCAGCCATGCTGCTGCCCCTAAAGCTTCTGCTGCTCCTCACAAACCATCAGCCCCTAAAAAGATGGCCGCCGTTAAAACCAGCAAAGCAAAAGCTCCTTCATCAGATTCCAGCAGCAGCGATGAAGAAACGATCCGTCAGCAAAAACCCACCGCTGCTCCTAAAGGACCCCCGAAACTCAAAAACCCTCAGCCTTCCTCCTCATCATCATCCTCCTCAGAAACAGACTCCCCCTCAGCTGTGGCCCCCAGCAGCTCAGGCCCTAAAGCTCCTCCTGTGGCCCCTCAGTCAGCAGACGGAGCCTCCAGCAACAGGGAGCCTCCTCGCAGCGCGGCGCCAGAGCCCCACGTCCAGGACGACGAAGAGGAGGAGATCCAGCTGGTCATCCGCCGGCCGCAGCAGCCGTTCCTCAACATTCCCAGGAGGGGCCCCGGCAGGGGGGCCCGGGACGGTCCTGGAGCAGAGCGCCCCGGGTGGAGAGGTCAGAGAGATGCACAGAGCTGCACCAACGGAACGACGACGCCTTCTGTCCAGAAGGACGTTCTGACCAACAAGTCTGTGGTTTTTCAGGTACGCAGCCCCCCCCCCCCCCCCCCCCCCCCCCCACCACCAAATATCGTTTATTAGCTGAGAAATCCCAGTTAAACATGTTTTAATTTGTTTTAAAAAATGTATCAGATTAATCGATTATTCAAATAATCATCAACTAATTTAGTAATCGATTAATTGTGATCTACTTAGAGCAGCATTTATACCAAGATTGTAAAAAAGATATATAAAAATTTTTCATTTTGATTTCCCAAAAAAATTATATAATTTTTCCATTTGTCAGCACCCTCTATCCAGCACTCCCCAAGTGAAAAAGTTTTAGTTTCTCTTGGTTTCATTTCGTAGAAACTCTTCTTTAAGGAACCTCTGATTATTAATTGATTAAATGGAAAAATAAATGACAGATTTAGCGGTTTGTAAAATAATCGTTGTTTGCAGCCCTAGTTACTAGGGATACACGATATAATCGTCCCCTATCGGTATCGGCCTGTATCGGCCTTAAAACTGAATATTGGACATCGGCCGCCCCACCGATATTTAACCCGATATTTGATCAGCTTCTGAGTTTCTAAAGTCTAAAAAAAAAATACTAAAAATACTACTTCTTCTTCTTCCTCAAAAATGTCTTTTTTTACAGACTTAAAAACTTCTAAAGACGAGGGAAAAAATATTGATACATTAAAATATCCCAATATCTTCATATGCTGATATATTGCCATTTAAAAACACCATATCAATCTCTTACTAATGAAATATTGCTATATGTCATCGTTATGCTAAGAAATCCCCCGAAAATTCACCAAATGTTGCCATATTTTTATATGTTGATATTTTGACGCGGTATCGATCTATTTTACTAACAAAATCTCACAAGAATTTGCAAAATATCAGGAGAGTTTGTAACAGAACGATGAAATTTCACGAGATTTTGAAAGTAAAATAGATCGATACCGCGTTTTTAAAAATCAATTTGATATCAGCATATGAAAATATATTTGAGTATATTATTTTTCAAAGTGTCAGAAATGGATAACAAAACTGCTATTTTCAATGACTACTTATTTTTGTCCAGCTTTAACATCGGTATCGATATCGGTTATCGGCTACATGAGTTTTAAAATATCGGCATATCGGATATCGGCCAAAATCCCAATATCGTGCATCCCTACTAGTTACTTTAGACCTGTCCCAAAAAGGACAGTGAGTGCAGTAAAAAATATAAAATACCAAAAAAAAAAAAACAGAGAAAAAAAAAAAGAAATAAGGTCATTAATAATAAAGATAAATAATTGGTAAATGATAGTAAAGTAAAGGGTTAGAGGGGAGGCAGATATCTCATAGATCAAACATGATGGAGGTAAATGGAGGTCTGATTGATGGAGCCTTTCATTCAGCAGCTGCTGTTAGATGCAGGCTAGGAAGTTTTCAGCCAGCCATCCAGCTCATAGTCATTCCAAAAAGTTAAAGTTAAATAAAACAATCCACTAGTCTTTGTTTTCCAAGTTCGATGATGTTTTTCCTCCCATCCAGGAAACTTTCTCAATTCAAAATGTCTGGATTAGTGTTGAGTTCCAGGCTTTATAGAGAAGCCCAAACACTCGCATTGAAACGGGAAAACCAGCTCCGCCCCTTAATATGGGAGTCGTTGAGGTTGTCACTGGCCTGCAGTACCAGATACTGGCCGATTCCTCTGATAAGGCAGTCGTTAAGGGTCATTGTTGGCCTGGATGGGATTAACTTTTTGGAAGGAACCAGTTTGAGCCGCCTGGTCAGCAAAGTAAAAACAGAGGGGCTGTTTTTAGAGGAGGGGCACCCAGCAATGCCATCAGGGGATCAGCTGAGTTTATCTAAAGCTTCGTCTGACTGTGGAGGGGGGGACATCAGGCTGCAGGGCGGGGTGCAGAAACCAGGGTTGGTTTATGACCAAACTTTGGCTGGCCGATGCTTTGATTTTAGGTCAGAGATGTCAGAGTCCTCCATGGCCGCCGTCCCGCTCCGTTTAAATGCATCTGTGCTTTGAAACGCACCAGTCAAATAACTTGATCCTTTTCTGGACTCTGGAAAACGAGACTTCAGCTGAGGAGCAACTAAGCCATCTGATTCACATGTTGGACCAAGATTATGTCCGAAAGTTGCAGGATGTCGGCCCCCCAGGACCTGAGTTTCACCTCCCTGCTTTAGATCATTGTGGATTTTGCAGAAATCTTTAGAGGTTTAGGGCAGAAATCCTCGTTCTCTTTGCAGATCATTTAGTTTACCTGCTCAAATGACTTTTAGAAATGTCCACTTATTTTTAGATCCGTTGTTAACAGCTGTGATGAAAAGGATCCCACAGGATGATGACGCCACCAACATGCTTCATACTGGGGATTATGGGTGCTGTTATCCTCCTCTGCTGCATGTTAAAATGAGCAGCGCTGCTTTTTATTTCACTGTCAGAATCCAAGTGAATCTCATCTGAACATATTTTCCTTTTCAAACATGATCATAATCATTCTGTTTGTTTTGGTCGGATATAATCTCAGTTAAAGAGCTGATGTAGGTGACTAACTAATGGGGCATTGATCAGTTAAAACCTTGGCGCCTCGCCCTCTCAGAGGTTTAGTTTTTGTCTGCGAAGAATCGCAGTGCCGGCCAAAGGACGCCTATTAAATATACTCACAAGCACTTCTATATATCTATATCTATGTTCGTAAATATACATGCACAGACGTAGTAACTACTGAAATCAACACCTGCAGCCCTGATTCAGACCAACATCAATCAATAACAAAGGCTGTCGTTATAAGCCAATGAAGCTGCTGTTGGTTAGTCTGCTGTATCCATGGCGATAACTTCCTGACTGTCTGTGTGCAGAATGAAGCAGAACAGGCTCCTCTGAAGGACTACAGCTCCATGCCGCTGTTAGCTGCGCCTCCTCAGGTGGGCCAGAAGATCGCCTTTAAGGTACGTTTGTTAGCGCTAATGCTAAAGGAGGAAGGCTGCTTGATACGCATGCATCAATGTTCTTTAGTCTTTGTGGAGCTCCAGCTTTGAAGGAAAGGTCCAGTCAGCAAGGAATAATCAATGGATCATTATTTATAATTAAAACTAATACGTTCACAGTGATTTAATTCATTCAGTGTTAATCAGTAAAAAAATTAAAACAATTTTTATCATCACAGAGTCTGGGAGCGGCCATTTTTGCCCAAATATAGTAACCCCTCCCTCCTGCCATCTTCCAGCAGTGACGTCACGGTGCGGTAAGCCTAGCGCCATTCTCCCCGCTTTCCAAGCTAAATCAATGGGAACTACTAGACACATCTGCAATCAACAACAATTATTGAAGATTTCCAGAGGACTTCACCATTGAATTTCACCAGAGCTATAGTGAAACTGACAATGCCCACGTGCATGGCAGCTGGATGCTGGAATACATCGGGTAAAAGTGGAAAAAAAGAGTTATTCCACCTTTCTGATCCCTGATCCTCCACGGACGGGTTGGTCGTTGGATCGCCAACTTGAAGAGGGAGGATTTGCCATCGAACTTCTGGCCAGAGAAAAAACCCGTAATATGTAGCCAACATTTGGAAGAAGAATGTTTTCAAGATGACTTGGATAATAGCGCGTTGTGACAATCACCAGATACAGCACTGGGACTTGATCAACAGCCGATACCGCACCGTGACGTCACTAACCAGTAGGTGGCAGTAGTGTTCTTTGACAAACATGGATGCCTCCAGTAAAGCACATTCACATGAAAATTACTCTGAATTAAAAACACTGAATATTTATTGAACAGGATGGAATAATTTCAGATTTAAAGAACTTTCAGAAGTTTGAATTCTGAATATAAGCGCACTTTTACTTCCCTTTTAAACTCACCTGTTCACTATATTTGATCCAGCATTTCTTTGTAAAATCTGCTTAGATTTTTCTGCTGTTTTCAGTCCAAACATCAGAGAGCAGATCAGGTTCTTTCTGCTTCATCTGCAGAATCAGTAATAGTCCATTCTGCAGTTCATCGCTTTGATTGCTTTAGGGTTCGCTGGGCTGAAAACTCATCCTCCCAGTATAGCAGAAGCTCTGCTAGCGGCTCCAAAACGTGTTTGATTAGAGAGTGTGAACTTTAACACTGCAGAGAAAAAACATCAAAGGACACTCTGAACCCATTTTCTGTGTTTTTAGTTTTTTTTGTGGACGTAAGCGCTCTTTATATATTCATTCATTTAAACCACCCTTTTGAAGCTGAACTGACATCAGTCCGAGCACGGTAATCGAGATCACTGTTTAGTGTAAATGGAGCGAAAACTGAACCGGACGTTCCAGAAACAACCGAACCACACTAACATGGTACTAGTTCATCAGTAGGACTCGCCGCAGTTCAGTTCTGGATCGATTCTTAGATAACAAAGAGCGGATGAGCAGACCGCTTCACCTCCTTACAGTCAGCCTCCGTAATCAGGAAATTTCAGACATTCATAAAAATCCTAGCTTCCCTACCGTGCCGCACGATTTCCAGTGATAATTCTGCTTAACAGTGTGTTGAACCTTAATGCCTGTCTTTTTTTCCTGCGTCTGAAAGCCCTGATTAGACTATCATTTGTCGTATCCACTCCCCAAAAGCCGACTCTGTCAAGTAAATTCACCAAAGGCTGCCTTCTTCACCTGACTCTCTGCAAACTTCCTGAATGTTACGGGCGCCGCCATGTTGGTTTGCTTGTTTACCTGTAGAAAGTGGTACTACCGTACAGGGCTCGATGTTACCCATCGCCCGATCTCCCGGAGCAAGTAGTTTTATTGTTGGGAGAGTACAAATTTCATTACATTTGTCTGCTGGGCAAGTGCAACTATCGCAAAAAAAAAATTATTTATCACTCAAAATTACTTTAAGATCACCGAAAATCGATAAAAATGACCCAGAAGCGTTGCCGGCGCCGTTTTTTTTTTTTTTTACACATTCTCTCGTGATTTGAAAAAGCCAGGTGATTTTCCGCCAGATGGCGTGATTTTTGTCCACCTAGCAGTAATTTTGATGTAGTTACCAAAACGACAAACAAGCTAGAGGTCGCTATTATATGGCAGTCTTCTGTACAGTGATGCAGGTCATACATAAAAAAATGCTCATTAAATTTTTTTCTCTTAGACATCTGAGAGGTGCATTTAAATGTTATAGAGCTAAACATGTTAAATTGGTGACCTGTTATGTTATTATTATTGTCTTGTTGCTGCATTTATTTTGTCAGGGAAAACTGATCCTGAGTCAGTTAAAAGTCAGGGAATTCTGAAATGATGTCAGACTGTGGAAACCCTGAATAAAATAACTATGAATAATGATTCTCTAGAAAAGTCACATTATATTAATAGTATTATCTCGTATAAACATACCGTGACTCTAAAATAAAAGTTATTCATTTGTGACATTGACTTCTATCTTGTGATTTATCTTAAGTTTTTAACCTGTCAAGTTTTTTTTTTTTAGATTTTTAACATTGTAATTTATATTTTTCCAAGCACACAACAGTTTAAAGCAAAGTTTAGTTTGAAAAGAATGAGCAGGAAGGATTGAAAAGCATGTTAACACGGTAACGTAGGCTTGAGTTCATTATCTGACGCATGCAGATACACACCAGGAACCTGGAAACTTAAAAAATACTGAATTACTTAAAACATTTAAAAAACAAACATGTTTCATTGATATATATACAAAAATGAATATTAGGAACTATATTTATCAAACATTATACTGGGCAAGTAAAGGTTTTTTCTGGACAAATTAAATGTGAAAGGGTAAAAATCTTTAACATCAACCCCTGCCATAGATCGCCACTAGGAGGCGAGGAACCGCGCTAGCGTGGTGTGTGAATGATCGTTAGGAACCGAACTTGTCACGGATAACTGATCTAAGCTTGGCACGGATCGGTTCTCAGAGGGCAGTATACATGGGGCTTTTCTTTCTACCCTGTGAAAAGAATGAATGAATTTAAATTAAAAAGAAAAACTCTGATGTAGAGATGCAGAGATCCAATCTAGAGCTCTTTACATGGAGCTGATGTTTCTCTCTTTGTTCTGCTTATTTTTTAATAGAATAAAGAACATTTATATCTGTGTTACTTTGTAAACGTAACTCACATATAGGATACACGGTTAATTTATTTAACATTTGAATGGCATCGCTATCAGATGGGTGCATCTGGACTGAACCTGCGGTTTTCTGCAGCTCTTCCTGACTGCGACCCTCAGATTATTAGATGTTCGCTCCGACAAACAATCTGCTTCTGCTCCTTTATTCTTCCAAAGAACAGGTTTTGTTAATTGAAATGAAACTTCAACTAAATTTTCTGTTTCCTTAGATTCTGATTTTCCAAAAGAAATTCACACTTTTTTTCAAAATTTTGTATTTTTTTTTTATCAAGAAAACATTACTTTTTTTTTTTTAGAATTTATATTTACTTTTTTAGATTTCGGTTTTCCAGCTTTTAGTTTCAACATTTGCATTCTTTTAAAATGATCGTTTATACATCAGTAACATCAGTAGATAACTTTACTTCTTGGGCCGGGCTTTCCTCTGGGTGAAGAGCGAAGCAATTTGAAAGGAATTCAGTTGCAAAACTAGATCTGAAAAAAAGAAATAAATAAAATCTGTACAGAAAAAAAAAACTTTTTTGAAAAAAATTCAAAAAATAAAATATTAGCAATGAGGGAAAAAAAAGACATAAAATCTGAGAAAACAGCAAATTTTATCTCAAAACCTCGTTTTGATCAAGACATTTTTCATTTTAATTTCTGATTTGCATTTTTTCTTATTTAACAAACAATAAAATAACAAAAATGACTAATTACTGCAGATGGCCGCTCACACCAGAGATGGGGACTTGAGTTTGTGACTCGTACTCGAGTCACACTTAAGTCGTATACAGGTGCTGGTCATAAAATTAGAATATCATGAAAAAGTTGATTGATTTCAGTAATTCCATTTAAAAAGTGAAACTTGTATATTATATTCATACATTACATACAAACTCATATATTTCAGATGTTTATTTTGTTTAATTTTGATGATTACAAATGACAACAAATGAAAATCTCAAATTCATCATATCAGAAAATTAGAATATTGTGAAAAGGTTCAAAGTTGATGGCCCCTGGTGCCACACTCTAATCAGCTAATTAACTCAAACCACCTGCAAAAGCCTTTAAATGGTCTTTCAGTCTAGTTCTATAGGCTACACAATCATGGGGAAGACTGCTGACTTGACAGTTGTCCAAAAGACGACCATCGACACCTTGCACAAGGAGGGCAAGACACAAAAGGTCATCGCTAAAGAGGCTGGCTGTTCACAGAGCTCAGTGTCCAAGCACATTAATAGAGAGGCGAAGGGAAGGAAAAGATGTGGTCGAAAAAAGTGTACAAGCAAGAGAGATAACCGCACCCTGGAGAGGATTGTGAAACAAAACCCATTCAAAAATGTGGGGGAGATTCACAAAGAGTGGACTGCAGCTGGAGTGAGTGCTTCAAGAACCACCACACACAGACGTATGAAAGACATGGGTTTCTGCTGTCGCATTCCTTGTGTCAAGCCACTCTTGAACCACAGACAGCGTCAGAAGCGTCTTGCCTGGGCTAAAGAGAAACAGGACTGGACTGCTGGTGAGTGGTCCAAAGTCATGTTCTCTGATGAAAGTAAATTTTGCATTTCCTTTGGAAATCAAGGTCCCAGAGTCTGGAGGAAAAGAAGAGAGGCACTTCATCCACGTTGCTTGAAGTCCAGTGTAAAGTTTCCACAGTCAGTGATGGTTTGGGGTGCCATGTCATCTGCTGGTGTTGGTCCATTGTGTTTTCTGAGGTCCAGGGTCAACGCAGCCACATACCAGGAAGTTTTAGAGCACTTCATGCTTCCTGCAGCTGACCAACTTTTTGGAGATGCAGATTTCATTTTCCAACAGGACTTGGCACCTGCACACAGTGCCAAAGCTACCAGTACCTGGTTGAAGGACCATGGTATCCCTGTTCTTAATTGGCCAGCAAACTCTCCTGACCTTAACCCCATAGAAAATCTATGGGGTATTGTGAAGAAGAAGATGCAATACACCAGACCCAACAATTCAGAAGAGCTAAAAGCCACTATTAGAGCAACCTGGGCTATCATAACACCTGAGCAGTGCCACAGACTGATCGACTCCATGCCACGCCGCATTGCTGCAGTAATACAGGCCAAAGGAGGCCCAACTAAATACTGAGTGCTGTACATGCTCATACTTTTCATGTTCATACTTTTCAGTTGGCCAACATTTCTATAAATCCTTTGTTTTTATTGGTCTTCAGTAATATTCTAATTTTCTGATATGATGAATTTGGGATTTTCATTTGTTGTCATTTGTAATCATCAAAATTAAACAAAATAAACATCTGAAATATATGAGTTTGTATGTAATGTATGAATATAATATACAAGTTTCACTTTTTAAATGGAATTACTGAAATCAATCTACTTTTTCATGATATTCTAATTTTATGACCAGCACCTGTATTTAATGACTCCAGACTCGACTGAGACTCGTGATTTCCGACTTGTGAACAATATTTTAGTCCAGTGTAAAAACACTTATTCAAGTGTTTTTTTGTTTTACTAACTTGACTGATCGCCGCTCGCCTTACCCGCACACAGAAGAGGTAAAAAAAAAAAAAAAAAAAGTAGCACTTGTGGCCAGTATGGCCCCACACTCAGTCTTTGACACAAGGGGGAGCAAACAACTCAAAGACCCAAACCGTGAAGCACTCAAGTTCAAGTGTTTTATTTATACAAAAAGCCACAGCAAAAGTAGCATAATAAAACAGTCCTTTTCTTCTCCTGATAAAACCTAAAATTCAACAGTTTTCCTTAAAAATCAGAGGCTGGAAGTTGGGCTCCGCTTGTTCTGCTGCTTCTGGTGCGAGTGATCGGCCTGGAGCACCCACAGGCTGATCCACAGCTGACTCTGCAGCGCTCCTGCACTGTTCCACTCCCTGGCGTGCCACAACCCTTTCCAGACCGATCCAGCTAAAAAGAGAAGCAAGGAGAACGCCAGCATCCACGCGCAAAAACCCCGTCGGAAGATATATTCCTGTTTATTTATAAAAGTATTGTTATTGTCCTGCTATTTGTTTAGGGTTTTTCTTTATCTCTTGTAGTTGCTAACCTCATATGTATTAATAAAAGGCAGGATTGTGATTGTTTTTTTTTTTCCACAGTCCTCATTTTCATTTAAAAATAAAAGAGCAGACATTTACTGCTAAAACTAGAAAAAGTTGTAACCACAAATGTCAGGTAAATACTGTAGGAAAATAGGTTTTTTTTTGAAAGAAAAAAAACTAAAAATGCAAAATTTATCTGGAAAAAAATTTTGCATGTGCTTTTGTTACTTGTATTTTTCATTTAGCAGTTCAAGATAACGATCATTCCATAGATATAATAGCGACCTTTAAGCTATGCTGTCTTAGTGACGGAGATGAAAACACAAGGAGAAACAAGCAAGCACGGAAATTATTGCACTTTTTTTAATTACAGTATTTTCACGACCATAAGGCGCACCGGACTATAGGGCGCGTTTTTTATATACAGGTACATGTCCTCTACTACCTTTAAATAGCCCTACTGCGTATTTAAAAGTACAGCGGGGGCAAAACTGAGTATGACTGTGCTTTATTCATGTATTTATTAAAAAGTATTAATCAAACCTGGCAGCTGGCCGTGAGACAGACACATCGCAGATGACACAGCGCTGTGATCACTCCTAAATTAACTTAAAATCCTGAAACCTGTCGATGGAATATGTTCGCTTTTATGGGTGCCTGCAGTTTAAATTATTTAGATGAAAAACACCTGCCAGCAGCCTAGAGGCTGCTGATGAAAGGATTTCTCCTGTCGGCGCACCGCTGGTATGTGGGGGTCTGAGCGCCTCCGACAGAAATAGATAATCTGGATGAACTGACTGCAGTTATTAAGTTTTCAGGTGGACTTTCTCACTTAAAAACATATTAAAACTACTTTATTCCCACTGATCACAGCAAATATAGCTGCAAGATTTAGATTATTTAGATGAAAAAACACCTGCCAGCCGCCGCGGTGAAGAGGAGGAGACCCGCCCAGAGGCTGCTGTTGAATTAAGTTTTCAGGTAGAAAAATAGAGCGGGAGCAAAACTGAGTATGATTGTGCTTTATTCATGTATTTATTACAAAGTATTAATCAAACCCATCAAAGTCATCATCCTGTGTTTCTGAATTAAACAGCTGCGCTAAATCAGACATGCCAATTTCCCCTTCTTCGCTGTCAGAGTCACTTTCCGTGCAGCGCAGCTCCTCAGAAATAATGCCGGCTTTTGCAAAAGCTTGAACAACAGAGCCAGCAGACACGTTAGTCCAAGCATCTACAATCCATCCGCAAACGGTGGCGTAACTTGCCCGGCGCTGCCTTCCACTTATCCTGAAACTGTGGTCTCCGTCTGTCATCCATCGCTCCCACGCCGCTCGCAGCCTTACTTTGAACGGCCGCTTCACACTGATGTCGAGCGGTTGAAGGTCCTTTGTCAGACCCCCCGGGATAACGGCGAGCACAGCGTCCATTTGATTCACCTTTTTTTTCACATCGGCTGTGAGATGGGCACGCAGCGTTGGTGATGCGTGGAAAAAACCACCTGGTCTCCTCACATAGGCTACACCTCCCTCAGCTACGCTTTCATCATCTCCTCATCCATCCAGCCTTTTCCATTTGCGTTAATATCATATGTCATCAGAGCGCTGTGTCTGTCTCGCTGTCAGCTCCCAGATCAGCTTCTCTGATTGGTTGATGCGGCGCGTCCAGCAGCAAAACTTCAATTTTTCCATCTCGAGCAGCAGCAGCGCGTTGGCGGCGTGTCAGATGCTTAAATGCTCCCGACGCGCTGCGCCTGCTGCTCAAAACGCGCTGCGGGACCTTTTGCTGCGCCTATACGCGCGTCAACCATTTACTTTGCATGTAAACTCGCTGCTTCTGCTGCACCTGCTGGGTCCGGTTCACACCGATGTCGAGCGGTTGAACAGCGAGCACAAGGTTAATTTGTTTCCCCATGTTTTTCACATCAGCTGTGAGATGGGCACGCATGGAGTTACATATTAACAGCGATGGTGATGAGTGGAAAAAATAAAACACCTGGTCTCCTTACGTTCAGCCACTCTTTCATCATCTCCTCAATGAGGTGGTCTCAACAGTCGCAGTTACAACACACATAGGGCGCACCGCACCATAGGGCGCACCGCACATTTTGAGGGAAAAAAAAGACGTTTAAGTGCGCCTTATAGTCGTGAAAATACGGTAATCAAGTGATTAGAATTTTTTGTGCGATTAATTGATTATTGCGACAGGCCTTTTCAAGACTTGAGACTTGACTTGGACTTGCAAAAAATGACTTGTGAACATGTCTGGCTCACACTGAGCCTGGTTCTGCTGGAGGTTTCTTCCTGTTCAAAGGGAGTTTTTCCTCTCCACTGTCGCTACAAGCATGCTTAGTGTGAGGGATTGCTGAAGAGTCAATGAGTCGATGCAATCAGCTGGTTTTCCTTAGAAAGAAAACTTTGACTGGATGATCTGGTGAACTGTAAAGTGCCTTAAGATGATATGATGTGAATTGGCGCTATAGAAATAAACTGAATAGAATTCAAGAGAGATGTCTCTGAGGAATTGGTAGCATTCCTTTACTTTGCGGGATTTAATGTCCAGCTTCTGTTTCTTTCCAAACACATCTTTCCATAAACATGTTGCTTTTATTTGCAGCCTTATTAACCAAAGCAAACATCAAACCTGCATCTTGTTAATTATTTCTCTCCTTCCTGAACAGCTGCTGGAGCTAACTGAGAACTACACCCCAGAAGTATCAGAGTATAAGGTGGGTAGAGTCCTCTTTGAAGGACTTATTCCACATATTTGCTGCAGCCTAACAGACCAACATGTTTCTTTGTACATCAGGAGGGAAAGATTGTGAACTTTGACCCGACGTCCAAACAGATTGAACTTGAGCTGCTGAATGCATCACCAGGTAGGAGCCAATTCTGCACAGTAAACGGAACACAAGTTAAACGGAAGAAATAAAACCCGATTCATTTGGTGGGAAGTAGAGTTTTTATTCCAGAAAACACGTTATTGTCATGAGGGAAACCCCTGCTGGTCATTACTGGACCTGTTGTCCTCTCCATGCTGGACGTCTGCTTCGTCTGCTCTGTTGGTTCTTGCAGCTGATCAGTTTCTTAGACTCGGTTTAATCAGCTGCTTTTAAAAAATGTACCCTCAATTCTCTTAAGGTGGGTTCTTATCAATCATGATTCCAGCAATTTACATGTTATCTTTGTAGAGGTGCATTCAGGAGCGCTGTGATGCAAAGCCATGCAGCAGGCAGGATCATCGCAGTGATGAGGAAGATCAGAACTGTTCTGTCGGTCTGCGTTACTTCAACCAATCAGGGACTGGATGTGGCTCTGAGGGAGGGTGAAGGAGCGCAGATAGAGACCAAACTTTTTACAATCCAACTGGAAAATAGAAAATTAACTTTGACTCAGGATGAAGTGAGGAACGCTCTAACCCTTAGGACTGTTAAGTTATTCATCATTCATCCTCCTCCCTCGATTGTGGCGGAGACTTTAATTCAATTCAATTCAGTTTATTTATATAGCGCCAAATTCACAACACATGTCATCTCAAGGCACTTTACAGTTCAACCAGATCATACAGTCAAATTGATACAAAGTTTTCTATCTAAGGAAAACCAGTTGATTGCATCGACTCATTGACTCAAATACAATCCCCCACACTAAGCATGCTTGTAGCGACAGTGGAGAGGAAAAACTCCCTTTTAACAGGAAGAAACCTCCAGCAGAACCAGGCTCAGTGTGAGCGGCCATCTGCCGAGGCCGACTGGGGTTCAAGGAGACAGAAGCAGAGATACAAAAAGCAGCTGTAAAAGGCGGCCCCGTCCAGGAAACACACAGCCAGGCAGACGAGCTCCAAGGCAGCTCCCATGCCAGAGGACGAAGAGGACCACACTGGAAAACAGGCCGATCTCCAACATCTATTAACAAGGGTGTTGATAGAAGCAGCACAGCTGATGTTTTTTTCCAGGATGACGTCACAGCCAAACAGGAACAGACGAGGCAAAGCTACTCTGAGGAAAAGCAGAGAGAACAGAAGGTTAGAGATTGAACTAACAGATTCTGCAGAATAGGAGAACAGAGAGAGAATGAAGCAGAATGATGAAATGGGGGTCCCTATGTCCTCCAAAAGTCTAAGCCTATAGCAGCATAACTATAGAGATAGCTCAGGATAACCTGAGCCACCCTAACTATAAGCTTTATCAAAAATGAAAGTTTTAAGCCTAGCCTTAAAAGTAGACAGGGTGTCTGCCTCACGGACTAAAACTGGTAGTTGGTTCCACAGGAGAGGAGCCTGATAACTAAAAGATCTGCCTCCCATTCTACTTTTAGAAATTCTAGGAACCACTAGTAAACCTGCAGATTGAGAGCGAAGTGCTCTGTTAGGAACATAAAGAACAATCAGATCTCTGATATAAGATGGAGCTTGGCCATTTAAGGCTTTATATGTGAGAAGGAGGATTTTAAATTCTATTCTTGATTTAACAGGAAGCCAATGAAGAGAAGCCAGGATAGGAGAGATATGATCTCTCTTTTTCATTTTCATTAGAACTCTGGCTGCAGCATTTCGGATCAGCTGAAGGCTTTTAACTACAGTTTGTGGACTTCCTGATAGTAAAGAATTACAATAGTCCAGCCTTGAAGTAACAAATGCATGGACTAGTTTCTCAGCATCACCCCTGGACAGGATATTTCTAATTTTTGCAATGTTCCTCAGATGAAAGAAGGAAATTCTAGAAACCTCTTTGATCTGGGATTTAAATGACAGGTCCTGATCAAAAATAACACCAAGATTTTTTACTTTATTATCTGAAATCAGTTTAATCCCATCCAAATGAAGTGACTGGCTAATCAGTTTCTTTTTCAGAGACTCTGGTCCAAAGACTATAACTTCTGTTTTGTCTGAATTCAGAAGCAGAAAATTAAGAGTCATCCAGGTTTTTATGTCTTCAAGACATGCCTGTAATCTATGTAATGGGTTAGCTTCATCTGGATTTATAGACAGATATAGCTGGGTATCATCAGCATAACAGTGGAAATTAATCCCATGCTGTCTAATAATTCTACCAATTGGGAGCATGTATAAAGTAAAGAGAATTGGTCCTAGCACTGATCCCTGTGGTACTCCACAGGTAACCTTTGAGCGTATTGAAGATCTATCATTAACATGAACAAACTGAATTCGATCAGATAGATAAGATTTAAACCAGTCTAGTGCTGTTCCTTTAATTCCAACAAAATATTCAAGTCTTTCTAAAAGAATATTATGGTCAACTGTATCAAATGCAGCACTAAGATCCAACAGGACGAGCACAGATACAAGTCCATTATCTGAGGCCATGAGAATATCATTAGTGACTTTCACCAGAGCTGTTTCAGTGCTATGATGAGCTCTAAAGCCAGACTGAAACTCTTCATGGTGTAAGTGATCGCAAACTTGTTTGGCAACTACTTTCTCAAGAATTTTGGATAAGAAAGGAAGATTGGATATAGGTCTATAATTGACCAAGTCATCTGGGTCAAGAGACGGTTTCTTAAGCAGAGGTTTAATTACAGCAATCTTAAAAGCTTTAGGTACATATCCCTGTAACAGAGATAGATTAATCACATCTAAAATGGAGGAGGAGATCAAAGGGAATACCTCCTTAAATAACCTGGTTGGAACTGGATCTAACATACAAGTTGAAGGCTTAGATGAAGACAATAATTTTGCTAATTCAGAGAGTTCAACTGGATCAAAGCAGTCTAAACCCGGTTCAGATTCCATGACTACCTCAGGTACAATCGCGGATAGAGGAGTGCTTATGATCTTATTTTTAATAAGATCAATCTTATTTATAAAGAATCCCATAAAATCATTGCTGCTAAGAGCAGGTGGAATGGACGGTTCAACAGAGCTATGGCTCTGGGTGAGTTTGGCAACTGTATTAAAAAGAAATCTAGGATTATTCTTATTCTCCTCTATTAATGAGGAGAAGTATGCTGCTCTTGCTTTACGGAGGGTCCTCTTATACAGCAGTAAACCATTTTTCCAGACTAGGAAGGACTCTCGCAGGCCTGTGGAGCGATATTTTCTCTCCAGTTTCCTAGCATTTTGCTTCAAAGTACGCAGCTCTGCATTAAACCAAGGAGCAAGCTTTCTATTTTTAACGGTTTTCATTTTCAAAGGAGCTGCGTTGTCTAAGGCAATACGCAGAGAACTAGCAACCCCCTCAACAAAATCATCAACCTGTGAAGGGGAATAAGCTATGCTTTTGCACGCTGCAGCACTGCTCAGTGACACAGAGCAGAGAGAAAGTGAAGCAGATTCTTTAAAATTTATAACTGCACTATCTGATAAAGATCTACTAAAATTGAACCTTCTTTTGGGGGAGGAGAACTCTGTTAAAGTAATCCTGAAGGTTATTAGAAAGTGGTCAGAGAGGACAGGGTTGTGAGGAAATACTGTTATTTCTTCACATTCTATGCCGTATGTCAGCACAAGATCCAAAGTATGAAGATGAGAATGCGTGGGACTATTCACATTTTGAACAAAGCCAATAGTGTCTAAGATAGCATTAAAGGCTGCTCTTAAGCTATCGCCTTCAATGTCAGCATGGATGTTAAAATCTCCCACTATGATGACCCTGTCAGTATTTAATACCAAATCAGAAAGGAACTCTGAAAACTCATCTAAAAATTCAGAGTAAGGACCTGGTGGACGATACAAAGTTACAAAAAGAAGAGGTTTTCTTGCCTTGAAATTTGGATCAGGGAAATTAAGGGTTAAATGTTCAAAAGAGTTGTAGGAATTAATTGTTTTGGGAGTAATCAGTAAGTCAGACTCGAAGATTGTTGCTACTCCTCCTCCTCGCCCAGAACTTCTGGGGATGTGAAAATTTAAATAGCTTGAAGGAGTTGCCTCATTTATGCTCACATAATCCTCTTGCTGCAGCCAGGTTTCTGTAAGGCAAAACAAGTCAATGTGATTATCACAAATCAAGTCATTAACTAGTAGACTTTTAGGGGAAAGCGATCTTATGTTAAACAGACCGCATTTAATTGTTTTAACTTTTTCCCCAATTGGAGTTATTTTGATTTTAATTAGATTATCATGATTTACTCCTTTGGGAATCTTTGCTAATTTATTAGATTTTGGTCGTGGGCAAGACACTGTCTGGATGGAGTAAAGAGTGGGTAACAGTAGAGAAGCTGCAGAGATGTGTGTTAAACTACAACTCTGCTTCCTGGTCTGCACCCTGGGTGGTCAGGGTTTTGGAGGACTAATAAATGTGGCCAGATTCCTAGAAAGAAGAGCTGCACCATCCAAAGTGGGATGGATGCCGTCTCTCCGAATCAGACCAGGCTTTCCCCAAAAGGATTGCCAATTATTAATGTAGCCCACGTTGTTTTCAGGGCACCACCTAGACAACCAGCGATTGAATGACGACATGCGGCTAAACATGTCATCACTGGTCAGATCAGGGAGGGGACCAGAGAAAATTACGGAGTCCGACATTTTTTTGGCAAACTTACACACCGAAGCAACACTAATTTTAGTGACCTCCGATCGGCGTAACCGGGTGTCATTACCACCAGCGTGAATAACAATCTTACTGTATTTAACCTTATCCTTAGCCAGTAGTTTCAGGTAGGATTTGATGTCGCCCGTTCTGGCCCCCGGCAAACATTTGACTATGGTCCCTGGTGTCTCTAATGCCACGTTTCTGACTATGGAGCTGCCAATCGCCAGAGTGGGCTTCTCAGTGGGTGTGTCACTGAGTGGGGAAAACCGGTTAGAAACGTGAACGGGTTGGTGGTGACCAGTGGGCAGAGATCCACGACTACGCTTTCTGCGTACAGTTACCCAATCGCCTGGCTGCTCAGGCACTTTTGGAGGACAGCTACGTGGGGGGCCTACTTTAACTCCTGGATGTTCAACAGCCTGAAGCCTGGATTCTAACTCTGACACCCTCACCTCCAAAGCTACAAAAATACTACACTTATTACACATCCCATTATCACTAAAGGAGGCAGAGGAATAACTGAACATCTGACACAGAGAGCAGGAGAGAGGAGAGGAAGAAGGAAGAGCTGGAAAAGAGTCAAGGGAGGGAGAGAGAGAAGCCATAGCAATGCTAAGCTAGCGCTAGCCTAGGCTAGCTACTTCTTGCTATCAGAAATAAAACCGTGTGAAACTGACAAGTGCTCAGTAGAAAAGTGCAGCAGAAGGTGCTATGTTTTAAAGTAGTCAGTTAGAGTTACTTAGATACAGAGATATCACAGAGAAAATAACTTAACTTCAGATGGAGATCCTCTGAACAGCTGCACACTCAGTTGCACACTCAGTTAATCCAAACAGGAAGTGAACAGGTCCAAAAAGTTTACTTTAAACTTTATAATAATAATAATTTAACTTTATTGATCTCACATTGGAGAAATTCACTCTGCATTTAACCCCTCCCCTTGGGGAGCAGTGGGCTGCCATTGTGCGGCGTCTGAGGAGCAGTGTGGGGTTAAGGGTCTTGCTCAGGAACCCAGAATGGAGGCTGTTGCGCACTGCTCTAACCACTAGGCTAACACCCACCTTAATGTGTTCTACATTTTATTAATAGTGTAATTTCTATGTATAATCATGTATGACATAAACACAAACTTAAGTTTTAATTCCTGCTCTGATTTTAGGCCTTTTCACATAAACAAACACTTAGATGTTTGATGTTCCCTGTTCACTTTATCTTCTGTGTTTCTCCCATTAAAGTTCTGTTAAATGGAGGAAAAAAGAAAGAACCTGATCCGTAGACTTCTAATAAAACCTTCACGCCATCCTGTGAGGCTAATGCTCATGCTAACCATGGTAGATGACAAACCTGAACCTGAGGACGGTGGATTTACTGACTTTATCAGATTCTCTTTGGGACAAGCTTTATTCTCGCTCTGACTTCCAGCAATCTTCCAAAATATATCATAGAAATACCTTAGTTGTGCTCCTCATTACCCCCAATGTTCTTGGTCAATGATGACATGCCGGGTTAGTGCCAGTGTTGAACAGCAGGGGGCTCCAGAGAGACAGAGTGCCTGTGTTTATTTCTCACTAAATGTTGTGAGGACTTCAGTATTTAAAATTGTGGCCTCACCTGTAAAAGTTCCAGAAATTATTTAGATATCTCCTGGAAGTGGGGGAAGGTCTGGAATCTATAAAGGAATTCAGACCAACATCACGAAGGATTAACTTCACTAAAGGATTAGGATCCATAAAAGATTAGGATCCATCAAGGATTAGGATCCATAAAGGATAAGGATCCATCAAGGATTAGGATCCATAAAGGATAAGGATCCATCAAGGATTAGGATCCATAAAGGATAAGGATCCATCAAGGATTAGGATCCATAAAGGATAAGGATCCATAAAGGATAAGGATCCATCAAGGATTAGGATCCATAAAGGATAAGGATCCATCAGGTTTAGGATCCATAAAGGATAAGGATCCATCAAGGATTAGGATCCATCAAGGATTAGGATCCATAAAGGATAAGGATCCATAAGGTTTAGGATCCATAAAGGATAAGGATCCATAAAGGATAAGGATCCATCAAGGATTAGGATCCATAAAGGATTAGGATCCATAAAGGATAAGGATCCATAAGGTTTAGGATCCATAAAGGATTAGGATCCATAAAGGATAAGGATCCATAAGGTTTAGGATCCATAAAGGATAAGGATCCATCAAGGATTAGGATCCATCAAGGATTAGGATCCATAAAGGATAAGGATCCATCAAGGATAAGGATCCATCAAGGATTAGGATCCATAAAGGATAAGGATCCATCAAGGATAAGGATCCATCAAGGATTAGGATCCATAAAGGATAAGGATCCATCCAGGATTAGGATCCATCAAGGATTAGGATCCATAAAGGATTAGGATCCATAAAGGATAAGGATCCATAAGGTTTAGGATCCATAAAAGATTAGGATCCATCAAGGATTAGGATCCATAAAGGTTTAGGATCCATCAAGGATTAGGATCCATAAAAGATTAGGATCCATCAAGGATAAGGACCCATAAAGGATTAGGATCCATAAAGGTTTAGGATCCATAAAGGATAAGGATCCATAAGGTTTAGGATCCATAAAAGATTAGGATCCATCAAGGATTAGGATCCATAAAGGTTTAGGATCCATCAAGGATTAGGATCCATAAAAGATTAGGATCCATCAAGGATAAGGACCCATAAAGGATTAGGATCCATAAAGGTTTAGGATCCATCAAGGATTAGGATCCATCAAGGATTAGCATCCATCAGGGATTAGGATCTATGAAGGTTTAGGATCCACCAAGGATTAGGATCCATAAAAGATTAGGATCCATCAAGGATTAGGATCCATAAAGGATTTGGATCCATGAAGTATTAGGATAGATAAAGGATTAGGATCTATTACAGATTAGGATCCATCAAGGATTACGATCCATAAAGGATTTGGATTCCTAAAGGATTAGGATCTATAAAGGATTTAGATCCGTAAAGGTTTTAGGATCCATGAGTCGGCGGTTATTTCCTGTATATTGATCAAACACAAAGACTGGTTTAGGTGTATTTATTACATAATGCTTTGCATTACAATAAGATTATTTTTGAAAAAGAGGAGATGCCGTATTTTTTTATACCGTATATAACAGGTAATGATTGGACTTTATTACATCTTCTGGTAATTTGCGGGAAATTGAATGTTCGTCACGTTTTAGTCAGTTTTAAAGTCCAGATTTATTAGTTGCTGCATAATGTGGCCTGATCACCTTGGTGTTGTGACTTAGAGCTTCAGTTTTATGGAGAAGCTGCTGTTATAGAAAAGTTTAGCTGATTGATTACAGCTGTCTCCATAGAAACAGCAGGTTCTCTAGCAGAACAGACCATTGGCCACATTCCCTCTCTGTGTTTTTCACTCTATAATCTCATCTCCAGAAAACGTTTCCTTCCTTTAACCATAAAGCTTTAATAAAACTCTGTATTAATAGAAATGAATGATCTGAGCATCATTCTTGTCTTGTTTTACCGGCTCCGTCACCCACCCTGTGATTTCACTTCCCCAGCAGCTCCTTCTGAACCTGGAAAGTTTGACCTGGTCTATCAGAATCCAGACGGCTCAGAGAGAGTGGAGTACGCCGTGCAGAGAGGATCTACGGTACGAGCTTCTGTGGATTAGCAGCAATGAGCCATTCATAGTTCAGATTAAATCCTAGCCTTATTCAGATGTGTTTATTTAATTGATCCGTGTCTGTTTCTCTGACAGGTGATGGAACGATGGGATTCTCTGCTGGAGCCCAGACTGATCATTGAAACATAGAAAACAAGCGTATTTTCTGTCTTAGATGACATAAAGGACATTTTATTAAAGTTTGATGTATTTTGGGACCTGTTCTTTTTTAGAAATGGGATTTTATTCTCTTTATTATGATGTTCTAATAAAATGTTGCTGCTAAAATCTTGCATCCTGTGTCGCTGTTTACATGAGGAAATAGAAATGATACAAATGAGGCCTTCATTTTTCTCTTAAGGGGTTTTATAGAGAAGCTTATTAAAATCTGTATCTTAGTTTTTAAGTAAAAAGGAATGATATTTCTGTAAAGCTGTAAACATAAAAATTTTAAACTAGGAATGTGGAGGTTGGAAGGAAAAGTTTAATGAATAACTTTAAGTAACTTTCTTAAATAATTTTGTTTTTCTTTGATCAAATCCAGCATCTTAGACTTTTATTGTCATTTTGTATAGAGAGTATACAAAACGAAATTTGTTTTTGTACAGCTTTCAGACACTGAATGAGCAGCAGCTTAGCAGGGAAATAAGCATTTCCATTCATAAAGTGCAGCAGTGATCAAATCTAAACAGTGTGGGAGAAAAAACATGGTGCAAAACGCATCCATATCAAAGTCCAGAGTTGTGCAAAAATGTGTATATATATATGGTGCAAAATGCAACAGAAAAACATGATTTCTGTTTGGTTTGATATCACTGTGATGCAGAGTCTCAATTTGTTACTTCCCTCTTTGATCTTCATTTTAGATGTGATTAATCTATCTCTGTTACAGGGATATGAACCAAAGGCTTTTAAGGTTGCTGGAATTAAACCTCTGCTTAAGAAACCGTCTCTTGACCCAGATGATTTCTTATCTAAAATTCTTGAGAAAGTAGTTGCCAAACAAGTTTGCGATCACTTACACCGTATTGAACTTTTTGAAGAGTTTCAGTCTGGCTTTAGAGCTCATCATAGCACTGAAACAGCTCTGGTGAAAGTCACTAATGATATTCTCATGGCCTCAGATAATGGACTTGTATCTGTGCTCGTCCTGTTGGATCTCAGTGCTGCATTTGATACAGTTGATCATAATATTCTTTTAGAAAGACTTGGATATTTTGTTGGAATTAAAGGAACAGCACTAGACTGGTTCAAATCTGATCTATCTGATAGATTTCCGTTTGTTCACGTTAATAACAGATCTTCCTCATGCTCAAAGGTTACCTGTGGAGTACCACAGGGATCAGTGCTAGGACCAATTCTCTTTACTTTATACATGCTCCCAATTGGTAGAGTTATTAGACAACATGGGATTAATTTTCACTGTTATGCTGATGAAACCCAGCTATATCTGTCTATAATCCAGATGAAGCTAACCCATTACATAGATTACAGGCATGTCTGAAGACATAAAAACCTGGATGACTCTTAACTTTCTGCTTCTGAATGCAGACAAAACAGAAGTTATAGTCTTTGGACCAGAGTCTTTAAAAAAGACTCTCCTCATCTCCTGCAGGAAGTCCAAGCGCTTCTGGGCCCTTTGGACCAGTGAGGTGGTGTTTCCAGTCCAGGTGAGGGTGTCTGTGATGAATGTGGTGCTGCTGACCACCTCTACAGCTGAGCTGTTGATGAGCAGTGGAGCGTGGTTAGGCCGGTTCTTGCTGAAGTCCACCATGATCTCCTTGGTCTTCTCCACCTTCAGGATCAGGCTGTTATCTCTGCTCCACCAGCTGCTCCACCTCCTCTCTGCAGTCCTGGTCGTTGTCGTCTCTGATGAGGCCCACCACCGTGGCGTCGTCTGCAAACTTCACCATGTGATTGGTGGTGAACCTGCGGACGCAGTCGTGTGTCATCAGGGTGAACAGCAGGGGGCTCAGGACGCAGCCCTGAGGGGAGCCTGTGCATAGAGTGATGATATCAGAGGTGTTCCGTCCAACCCGGACTGACTGAGCATCTCAGCATTGATGTGATCTATGTTAGAGCTGCAGTTAAAAAAATGCTCCATCTGAAGAGCTTCACTCATTAAAGGTAGAAAAACGTTGATCTAAAGACCAGTTCAAAATGTTTATTAAAAACTTAGAGGAGCTGAGAAATGGAAGCTGAACTTCTGTCAACATAAATAAATGGAATATAAAGAAGATTATGATTTAGATATTAAATATTCAACTTGTATTAATTAATATTTGGCCTTCCAGCACCCCATGGGAGGAGTGTTTGGATTATGGAGGACGTCACTCAGTGGCCATCCTGTAGAAATCCAGAGATTTATTTAAAATAAACAGAAAATCAGAGTCTTTGTGTACAGCACAACACTAACTTTTGTTTATTATTCATGTTGTTAAACTTGTTAATTTCAAAGGCAGTGAGTAAGAATTATTTTACTGGATGAAGGATTTTAGAGGAGATTATTTTCTACCAGAATAAAATTACAATTTGGACATAAATTACTTTGGATTTTCAAAAATTTTATTTTTCTTTTTCCCCTCTGTGTTTTAAGTTTTTCATACTTTTAAAACAAGATTTTAAAACTCTCAGGAAGTCAGAAGGTTTTATCCACAGCAGATCTGCCCTTATTTCTACATTAATAAGCTGAAAGAAGTTTGAATTACTGGAGGTAAAACAAATGTATTGTTCTGTTATTAAAATAACTACATGATTATCAACTGATGTATTATGTCAATACTGATTAAAAGTAACATTATTTTATTATGTTTACATTTCTTCCATCTGAACAGTATATAAGACAAAGTATTATTTTATTTAATCCTTTTAAAAAACAAAGTATTTATTTTGTTGTTTTTTTTAAATTAGGAAATATTAATATGGAAGCTAAAATATTGAATTCAGTAGAATAATAAAAATTTTTTAACCTGTTTATTAGATTCATGAGGTTAACATTATGAAGATTTTTAAACTTTCCATCATTCATGTGAGTTTGGCAGGGCTGAATTTTATATTAATTTTAACAGAACTGAGATAAAGGGAATTGAAAAACTGTCTTGTGTCAAACCGTATAAAACATCCAAATAAAACCGGGCTCACACTGAGCCTGGTTCTGCTTGAGGTTTCTTCCTGTTAAAGGGAGTTTTTCCTCTCCACTGTCGCTACAAGCATGCTTAGTGTGAGGGATTGCTGAAGAGTCAATGAGTCGATGCAATCAGCTGGTTTTCCTTAGATAGAAAACTTTGAATCAATCTGACTGGATGATCTGGTTGAACTGGAAAGTGCCTTGAGATGACATGATGTGAATTGGAGCTATAGAAATAAATTGAATTGAACCAGGAGCAAATTTCTATGTAAGCCTGTTTCCGCCTCATAAAAAAAAAAAAAAAAAAAAGTCAAAATAGAAAGCCATAATTTCGACTTTTTGAGTCCCAATTATGAGATATTCAACTTTCCAACTTCACATTCCATAATTATGACTTTCTCCTTGGAATTGCTTTACTTTCATGTGGCCTAAACGGGCTTCCATACGTTTCGGAGCCTCCAGCTGTTCGCAGCCTGGAGGCCAAACACGTCTGGCTGTTGCTAGGCAGCCGGATGCTGACGGAAACCCTTCGGCTCGGATCGGGAGTCGTCGTGTTTTTCCGTATCCTGTCGCGTCCTCCACGGTGCTGCTGATGTCAGTCCGCCGCAGCTGCGGGATGATGGCGAACAACAAAGCGGTTCTGATCCGGTAAATCCGACCGAGCCAAAGTGCAGAGAGCGATGGAGAGAGGCGGCTTCCCCGAACAGAACCAGATCCTGCAGGTTCTGAAGAGGCTGAAGGAGGTCTTCGATGTGTGCGATGAGGATGCTGACGGCTTCATCCGGGTGGAGCACCTGATGGACCTTGGGCTTCAGTTCGGTCAAGGAGACGAGGTGAGCTGAAGGGAAAGCAGGGCTGCTGGGATGAGATTCAGTCTCTGAGGGATGGAGAGCTGGAGGAGGAAGGAGCCGCCTGGAGACCAGATGTCAGTCCGCAGCTGGAGGAGATTTAATCCCAGCTTTAGGAGGAGTTTAGGCTGTTCACTAATCCACACTCTGACTGCCTGTTTGTTCCCTAAAAACAGGAGGATTCTGGAAGACATCACTGAGGATACGGTCTGTTAAAACCAGGTCTCTAAACCATCAGATTCAGGGGCGGATTTAGGAAATTTGGGGCCCTAGGCAAAGACAGGCAGGGGCCCCTCTGAATTGAAAAGACAACACATAAAACAGCCCCATTCTACAGATGTAAAGTCATAGGGAAATCCTATTTAAATATCATCTCATTCTGGCTTAAACAGAAGGGCGTAGGTTTGATTCCAGCTTTGGTAGGGACACTATTGGTCTCCAGTTTCATTGGTCTGAGGTCATTGGTCCTATGCGAAAAATATGCATGATCTTTTTTATGCTTAATGTGAGCATCAGGACACATTTTGTTTAAAGAGAACATCAGCATTTCTTCTACATTGATACTAATCTTATAAACGCTACACGCACTAGATGCTGTTTATCAATGTTTAAAATATCACTGGCTCTGATAAATGTGGAATTAGGACTTTGGTTTGCATTTAAAATGACCAGCGACTAAGATGGTGCATATTTAACCAAATATAGTCTAAAGATTCCTGTTAAATGTGGATTTATCCTGTGTTTTTTTCTGGAGATATAAAATTGTGAAGAGGTAAACAGAAGTAAAACCTACTCTTTTTTTATCTAATATGCTCTCTCTGTATCATGCAAAATAATACATTAAAGGGACGGCAAATAAATGTATTTTATTTACATTTACAATTAATCATATTAATCGATTATTTAAATAATCATCAACTAATTTAATAATTGATTAATCGTTAATTGGAGTATAGGGCCACTAAAATGTGCCTTTAGCCGACAGAGCGACCCACTTAGAGCAGGAATTATACCAAGATTGTAAAAAACATGTAAACGTTTTGCATTAAAATTCTGTCAATATTCTCCATCCAGAACTCCTCAAGAGGAAACATTTCTGTTTCACCTGATTTCATTTCATAAAAAAATCTTCTTTAAGGAACCTTTGGCTTTCTGATTAATTGATTCATTGAAAAAATTATTGACAGATTAAACAATTTGAAATATAATCAATAGTTGCAGCCCTAATTTTATGGTAACATTTCAAACACATTTCTACACCAAACCAAGCTTCTGCCGCCCTGGCGTCCTCTTCTACAACGTCTTCGTCCCCGCTTTCCTCCTCTAAATAAAAAATGGATGACGGAGGAGACTCATCCACGACCTCGGTCCTCCAGGCCCGCTGTCCTGCAGGTTTTAGAGGTGTCCCTGCTTTAGCACAGCTGATTATAATGATTGCAGTAGACCAAAAGCCTGTTAATCAGCTTTCAATTAAAATCAGCTGTGCTGGAGAAAGGAAACCTCTAAAACCTGCAGGACAGCGGCCCTCGAGGACCGAGGTTGGGGATGCCTGCAGTAGGAGACTCATCCACGACCTCCGACACTAAACTCTTCCTCCTCTTGCATGTTTCCTCTGTCCATAGCGTTCCTTGACAGCGTTGTTTCTAAGTCACCAATTTAGTGCTACTTGGTCCCAATGGAATTTCCCATTGGGAACCTGCTAGCACTAAGTTGCTAACTGGTTAGCAAGATGCTTCCGACAAACTGGCCACAACCAAACGTGCTTGCGAACCTTCCGCCACAACAATCCCGCTCCTTGATAAACGACCAATCACATTCACTTTATTCACTCGTGTAGTCGGGCACCACTCGGGAGAATTTGGAAATGCAACGGTTGGAACGGCCGCTTCCCTACGACTTTAATAGAATAGACATCCATTATCTGTTCTAGGTTGTGTCCCTCTCTTCTTGTCCCTTTTCTTCTTGTTTTCCTCTCTATGTTTTGTACTCAGCTGACTTTTCATGCTGTCTCTAAAGGAATGAAAGATTTTTTCCAAGCACTAAGCTCACTTAGCTGATTGCTCCTTCCTGTGTTTCCAAAAAGGCCAAAGTAAATAACCCAGTCCTTCTTTTCACTGTAGACAAGCCATGATCTGCTTATCTGTTCTCCATTTTTCATTTGGATGAAATAATAGCTGCATGAATCATGACAGCAGACAAGATAGAGGAGAGCAGGAGGCGGGGTTACCAATCTACTCGCTCTGGAGAGCAGAGTTCGCTGCTTTTAGATGTTGTCTCCAAAGTCTCCAGTAGCAGAAAAAAGTCTCTAGATTTGGCGCTAGGAGCTTTTTAGAAATCAAAGTGCTAGAGGGGTCTGAAAAGTGGCTAAATATAGCGACTAAAGCGCTAAGTTGGCAACACTGCTCTTTGCATGGTTTGTTTTCAAATGGTTTGCTGCTGTCTGTTTGGACCTTTCTGAACATGTGCAGCAAATGGACTGATCCAATATGGTGGACACTGATGGCATTTTAGAATTTTTATCAAAAACATAATTAATGTCCACAATTAAGGAATATTTGTAATAACCATACATGTAAACAGAGTTTTATGGGGCCCCCAGGAACTTGGGGCCCTGGGCTACTGCCTAGTATTGCCTGATGTTAAATCCTCCCCTGGATGAACCGTCTCATTTAATTCATATTCATAGATCAACATCAGCAGATTGTTTTTCATATTTTGTGTTTGATATTCTAGAAACAAAATCTTTGCAGATTGCTGTGGTAATGATAATGATTAGGTCGTGACTTTGACTAGGCCGCCCCCACCTCTTCATTTTGTTTTTTTTCGTCCATGTGAGGTGGAGCTGCTGAGGGTCATTTTCCTGCTTCAGAAGCTAACTGCAGGTCTCCAGCAGATGGACAGATCTTCTCCTTCAGAATTCATGTTTCAATTTATCACAACAGATCTTTTTGGTCTTGAAGCTGCAAAAGGGCCCAGACCATCACACTACCGCCACCGTGTTTTACTGTCAGCATGATGTTCTCTTTCTGAAATGTGGTGATACTTTTAGCCCAGATGTTAAGAGACACAAAGACCTTCAAAAAGTTCCACTTGTGTCTCATCGGTCCAAAGAATATTTCCTCCAAGATCTTGGAGATCCTCCAGATATGTTCTGGAAAAATTCAGATGAGCCTTGATGTTCTTTCTGCGATTTTCCTTTATGCTATGTTCAGACCACACGCAGCAGGAGGAGTAAAAACGTGCGTGCTGCATTGAAAGCGAATACAACATCCCTTTGGATGGGACAGGTGAACTAGGAGCCTTCTCACTCAGGGTCGCTCACAGATGGCTTATAGATCTAAGAAATTAAGACTTCCACAGAGCTTTAAAAGAAGGGTTTGACCAGAGGTGTGAAACGTATTAATGTTTATTACTCAAGTAGAAGTTAGAGGATCAACTTCAGCTTTTTACTCCAGGAAAAGTACCATTTTTAAAACTACTTAAAGTATAAAAGTAAAAGTAATGCAGGAAAAAATGTTAAGGACAGAATCTTTACTGCACTACCCGATTAAAGGAACATATATCTACAACTATGGTCTACGATAACTTCCTTAGGCTTATTTTCTTAGTTTTATAACTAATGGTAACAGCGTCACATTTAACTTTGCATCATCTTGGAAAACTATTTTATTTTGATATGTGGGCTGCAACAAGTTGGGGCAGCACCGAAACCAACCATAAAGAAATGAATTGTCTGGATAAAACTAATTATTTTGATTTTTTTTTTAAATACCAACAGTACATAATGTACGGAAGAGGATTAGGGCCACTAAAAAAAAGAAAAAAAGTCAGAATTCTGACTTTAATCTCAGAATTCTGACTGAATTCTGAGAAAAAAGTCAGAATTCTGATTTTTTTCCCCCATACTAAACTGAAAAAAAATGTAAAAATCAGTTAACTTTTTTTTTTTTTCCACTGGCCCTAATCCTCTTCCGTAATAATGAAAATGAGCTTAAATAAAAGAAAGCTATTTATCTATTTTTAAAACATAAGGAGGAGAAAGTTGAGATAATTTAAAAAAATTTAAGGATTAGAAGTAAAAAGTTGTCTAAAAAATAATTACTGATGCAAAGTATAGATAGCCAACATTTCTGTTTAAGTAAAATAAAGTATTTGTTATTTGGTGCCTCTAGGTTTAACTCATAGTAAATATGGACACGAATCCCTAAAAAACGATTAAGAGATATAAGAACCTGTAAACGGAAATAAAAATGAGCCTCTTAACTAAAAATCAGGTTGAAAATGAATTGAAGCGACACTTTAATTAATCCTTGGTAGGAATCACTGCTGACAAACAAAATAAACAATCAGAGCAGCTCCAACGTCAGTTTTTGGATATAGCTGTTTACATCATGAACCCTGAATCAGTCTGGCTCATTGTTTTCTACTTTAGCTTTAAATGAATAAACAATATCTAAAGGTTAGTTTACACATTCATGTTGCAGGTCGACTATAAGCAGAAAGTCAACCTTTTGGATTTCTCTCATAATTTGCTGTTTTAAGTAGAAAAGAAGTTCACAGATTTATCCAACTATTTGATGAAACGTCAATCATGCTTGAAGCTTCATTCATGTTTTTCCACTAGAGGAAAGTGAACCTGTGTGTTTTTGCAGGTGAAGAAGCTGACTGAGCATCTGTGTCCCAATGCTCACGGTAAAATCAACTTCAAAGACTTCTGCCACGCTGTGTTCGCCAGCAAAGGTAAGAGCATTTCATCACATTTGATCCGATATTAAAACCTCCGCCTGACTGAACTTTTCTGCCCGTATTAATCTATCCTAAAACATAAACAAGTTCAGCTTTAGATTACAGTCAGGTAAGAAACAAAGTATGCCTTCTCTTACCTCTAAGATTTTAATAAGAAAAGGTATCTGTATCTGATATCAAAGTTAGAACGCAACTGCCGTGTTTTTATTAAAGTGATGACCACAAAACATGTAGATAGAGAATATATAGAACTGAAGAACTTAAAGAGGGTTTCTTTATAAGGTTGTTTACAGGATTATAACAAACAAAGAGCCCTAAAACATTATAAAGTCTTTATAACAGCTTTTTCATCTACCTGATTAAATTTTTAAATTACAATAATTCAGTTCAGTTTACTTCTATGATGCCATTTCACAACACATGGCATCTCAAGGCACTTTGCAGAAACAATTCAACCAGATCATCCAGTCAAATTCATTCAATGTTTTCTATCTAAGGAAAACCAGCTGTTTGCATCAAGGCAATCCCTCACTCTAAGCATGCTTGTAGCGACAGTGGAGAGGAAAAACTCCCTTTTTTTGTTTTTTGGCTTGTTTTTATGGAAAGTAGGCTGACAGGAAGGGGGGCATGAGAGAGGAGGAGAGACATGGGGGAAAGGACCACAGGCCAGATTCGAACCCGGGTCGCCCGAGACGAGGACTAAGGCCTCCATACATGGGTCGTTTGCACTAAGCACGACACCACCAAAGCACGCCTAGAAAAACTCCCTTTGAACTGGAAGAAACCTCCAGCAGAACCAGGCTCAGTGTGAGCGGCCATCTGCTGAGGCCCACTGGGGTTCAAGGAGACAGAAGCAGACATAGAAAAAGAAGCATAGATACAAAAGGCAACTGTCAACCAGCTCCACAGGCGGCCCCGTCCAGGAAACACACAGCCAGGCAGACGAGCTCCGAGCCAGCTCCCATGTCAGAGGATGAAGAGAGCACATCCAGTTAGTCACAGTCAGAGAAACAGGACTACACTAGAAAACAGGTCGATCTCCAACATCTAGAAACAAAGGTGTTGATGGCAGCAGCACAGCTGATATTTCTCTCCAGGATGGAGTCACAGCCAAACAGGAACAGACCAGATGAAGCTACTATGAGAAAAAGCAGAGAGAGCAGAACGTATGGAGTCACAGCCAAAAAGGAACAATTTACGTTTAAAATAAGACAGAGAACAATTACGTTGTCTAACTTCAAGTGCTTATTATCTAATTATCTTATTTTAAGAGTAAAAATACTTATGCCTTTGACAAATCATCTTATTTTGATGCTCACATCATAGGAAAATGCACTTAATTTAAGAACTATTTGTAATGTGTTTTTGTATTGCAGAAGTTCTTAACTTTGGGTAATTTCACGTTGCAACAACAATCAGGGACTAGATGAGGCTGTGTGGAGGTGAAGGAGGCAGCAGGACTAGCTTTTTAAAAAAATCAAAATGGAAGACGGAGTAAAGGGGCATGCTCCTCAGAGGTTTGTAGATATTTTCATTTAGCCCTTAGAAGGATTGTTAAATGGTTAATTATTCGTCGTCCTCCCTAAGCTGCAGCGCAGACACCAGTCAGCCACCTCCTCCCTCCTACTCGGCCTCCTGATGTTAGCCTCCAGAGTTTCTGCTGGCCAGCCTCCTCCTCTCCCCTGCTCTGCTGCTCCCTCTACCGTTGTCTTCTACAATCTCCTGCTTTGATTCCCCAGCTTCGGGGGGGCGGCTGCCTCAATCGGTTCTGGTGTTCTCTCTGCCGGGGTTCTTGCTATTATTTGCTTCTTCTGACTGAGCAACCATGATCCAGCTGTAATTCCTGGACTCCTTGAACTGGGAGTGTCTCTGGAGGATCCGGTAGATCCAGGCGCCCCAGAATCTTTGTCCGGCCTTTCAAAGTCGCCCTGTAAAATCCAGCTCAGGCATGTTAAGTGAAACCAACATCCAGCAGAGATGATGATGTCGTAGAGCCTTTCACATTCTGTGCAAAGGTTAGTTTCTCACCAGATGGATTTCTGGTGTAATATCAGGCAAACAAAGCAACAGGCAGTGTTTTTTTTTTTACTGCTTCCACGGTCTCTGTGAAGGAACCATATAGCTCCTTTCCCACTGAAAGTAGCGGGTTAATTTGTTTTTTCAAAAATGGGGGGATCCGCTAACAATCAGCATTTGACTCCCTTCCCATTGGTAAAAAAAGCTGGTTTTACCCCTCGCTGGACACTGCGTGGTGTCTGTCCCCCCACCGCTGCGTGTCTGGTGACACCATCACGCTGGATTAGCATTGGTGTGCGTACCTGGGTTCTCTCCTGGTACTCTGGCTTCCTCCCACTGTTCAAAAACATGACTGTCAGGTTAACTGGCTTCTCTAAATTCTCCTTAGGTGTGAATGTGTGTGTGTTTTTATTTGTCTCTGCGACAGATTGGCGATCTGTCACAGGGTGGACCCCACCTCTCACCTTTAGACAGCTAGAGATAGGCATCAGCACCCCTCGCATCACCAGCTGGGATAAAGCTTGATGGAAAATGGATGGAAAGACAATTTGCCCATTCCGTTTCAATGCGCTGGAAAAAACGATCAAGAAATAACGTAAAAGTTCCTAAAATAAGTGTATTTACCCTTTATTTGAGTAGGTAGATTAGATGGTTGCCAATGGAATGAGTATTTTGACTCTTAAAATGAGATAATTAGAAAATATGCACTTGAAAGAAGACAATGCCTCTTGTTCCATTGTCAAAATGTCTCTTTTACCTCCTCAATCCAAGAACAAATGCACTTATTTTAAGAAAAAATGACCTATATGGATTTAGATTTGTTCCAGTGGGGACACCAGTATTTAGTGATTGCACGCACGGTGTGAAAGTTGTTGCATGTGAGCTCCTGATTGCTCCTTTTAGTGCGTTTACATCAAATACAAACAACAGGAACGGAGTTAGTGATTTACACGTCATTCCTAAGTATGAGGGGAATCAGGAGCAAATGAATAGTTGGCAATGCGGCAGACGTGTTTGAAGCAAACTGGGCCAATAGAGGGAAGTTGACCTGTGAATGGGGGAGTGGAGGCAGGAACAGAGCACAGACATTTAAACAGCTAAGCTTTTCATATCAGTTTAGTCTCCTTTTATGTTTCTAAGAAATCATTTCTACCACTTCTTCCCCCCCCCCCTCTGCTGCAGGTTTTGGAGAGATATTAAAGATGGCGGTTGGTTCTCAGGGTCTGACATCCCAGCATCAGTCGGTCACTGACAACGGCTACATTTATCAGGTAAACCTTTGTATCAATGGGGACCTGGAGTTTACAGCCGTGAGACAGCAAAACTGAGACAGTTTATCCACAGCTCCAGCTGCTGCCCACCTGATTGGCATCCTGCTCTTTATTAACATGTGAGATGTGTAGACGGCCAGTATATGTTGATGAAATCTTTATCATTCATAAATGATGACAGTACACACTAAAACGTTGTTTTTTTCTCTAATAAGATGGTCACTTAAAGCCTAGCAAGAGATTAGCTCAGCTCCACAGTTGCTTAGCAACAGGAGGAAAAGGAAGGAGAGCTGGAGGCCTGGCGTTGCCCCGACAAAAATCCTGTACTCTAACAAAATGATGCAGCAATGGTTTAAGGGATGTAAATGTCTGAATAAAATTATTTATGAGTAGAGTTATTGCATCTAGAAACATTTAGATACAGGTTGACATTATAATATGTTTTTAAATACAGCTATCCAACCAGGTTTAAATTTAAAGGGAGTCACATCCTGGCGGAGGAGTTTTTTTCTAAAGAAATGCTATTGTTTGCCTGATTGTTTGAACTGTCTATTCCTACAACTTATGTAAAAACTACATACATGAAGTATTTTCTTTCATGTAAATGAGAACGAGTTGAGGAGAGTCTCAGAAAAACATAAAGCAGCTGATTGGGGACTAAATCTTCCAGAATTTCTTTTTTTTTTCTCCAAACGTCAGCCCCTTTTCCAAATGTCAGCCCCGGGATCTGTAATCCCTGCTAACAGGAATCCTGGGGAGTTCATCAGCTGCGGTTCTAATTCACTCTGAAGCCCCCAAACTGAGAGAAACTGCTCTATACCTCCAGCCCAGTGGGTGGCGCTAATATAAACACAACACTGGGTTTCCCTTTACTTCCACTGCCAACCAGCTATAAGAAAATGATAAAAAGTTTAAATTGTTTGACTTTGATTTATTTGATCAAGCTGCATCTAAGTTTGTAGCTGTGGTAGCTGAAATTGGGAGCTAACTCTGGATCTCTCCTACTTTTTTTTAAAATTAGTTGGAGATATCATTGCCCCATTTAAACTACCCTCTAAAAAAATATCCGTGCCGAGCTTAGATCAGTTCTGAACTCGGTTCCTTAAGATTGTTTACACATTGAGCTAGCACGGTTCCTCGCTTCCTAGTGGCGATCTACGGTACTACCGCTCTCTAAAGCTAAACACGCAAATCAACATTGCGGTGCCCGTAACATTCAGGAAGTTTAAGGAGAGTGTGAGGGACTAAACTTAAATAAGGACAAAAGGTGTTCAAAATTTGAAAAAGACCTTTCATTTAATTGTGTAAAAAGGGTTAACAAAGGCTCAAAAGCAATACAAAATAACTTAAATACAAAATAACATGAATCTGGGCCCAACTTAACTGAGGTCAACTGAGGATCCAACTCAAACAAAAAACTGACCTGCAAACAAAGAACTAAAGGCTGCTTAAAAAGGGATGGAGTAACCCAAGTCGACAAAATGAGGGAGGCACAACATAACAAAAGAACCAATAAATACAAAATTAACCTTTCTATGAAACAAAACTAACTTACTTAGCAGAAACAATAAGTGAATATTTAAGTGACAAACTAATTGAAAACTTCTTGAAACAAGTCTCCCCCGTCAGTCTTTCAAAAATGGTACGCTCCAGATTTCCTTCTCCAGCTGGTTTGCATCAGCAGCACCTCAAACAAAAGAACAAGTGTAAATAAACCATTCAGACAGACATTAACTAAAGTGTGCACCCATTAGAAAATACCTGTATAATATAACCAACTTAAACATAAATTGTAATATAATATAAAGCAAGAAAAGAAAATACTAACACGATGTGGTGGTGGGAGGATCATCCACCACAGAGAGTCGGGTGAAGAAGGCAGCCTTTGATGAATTTACTTGACAGAGTCGGCTTTTGGGAAGTGGATACGACAAACGATAGTCTAATCAGCAGTGTTGGGCACGTTACTTTGAAAACGTAATTAGTATAGTTACTAGTTACTTCTCCCAAAAAGTAACTGAGTTAGTAACTGAGTTACTCCACAAGAAAAGTAACTAGTTAGTAGAAAAAGTAACTATTGCGTTACTTTTGCGAGGGTATGAAATTAATAACTGGGGATGTCTAATTCTGAAATCCTGTGTTTGGGTTGTTATAGATACTGCAACATGTAGCTATATCTATCTATCTATCAATCAATCAATCAATCAATCCATCCATCCATCCATCCATCCATCCAGATTTCTCCCTTTCTCCATATAGGCTAATGATCGTTCACTCTCTCCATAGTTCCCCTGTGGCGCGGCTGTTACGCGCCTTTAGCGAGCATGCGCGTTTCCTGTCGCTTGCGCGGTGAATCGTGCCGCCGTGCTGTGCGGCTAGACGTTACACCAGTATTTCCATCTGGAAAGCGCTGTTTTGCCGCTGGAGTCCTCCTCACTCTCCATCCTCCCCTCTCTCATGACGCGCGCACGAGTCCTATCATGAAAAAAGGTTAGTTGTGCGACCTGAGTAACGTGCAGTTATAGTTACAGTAAGAGTAATCATTTTGATTACTCGTTACTAAAATTGATGATTTGAACTCTTTGCAATGCAGCTAGGTTTTATTTTGGCATTTTCAGCAGGTCATTTCCCTGAATGTGTCACACAGCGTTACATCATAAACAAAGGGATTAATTACTAAATACAGCCTAACAACACGTCGCAAAAGAAGAGTCTAAACAAACAATTAAAACCCAAAGAAAACCAAACCATCGTGGCATAAATATGAAAGTCCTCTGTGGAGGAGAACAGCTTTGTTCTACAGCACAGAGAGGCCCAGGTGTTTGTATTATTAATGTCGGTATCTGGGGCATCCTCCATACCAGCATCTCTGATCTCGTATCAAAGGCTGGTTCTGTTCTGTATTTCCTGAGGAGGGGGTGATTGAAAACATCATGATTAGCTGTATTGCTGTGAGCTACGGCATCCTGACTGTTGTGGATTGCAAATACCACCAGCCGGTGGAGAAGAACGCGAGGAGGCCACGGCCCTTCCTGCAGAGCACCGCAGTGATGCTCTGATGATTTGGACCAAAATGCAGACCAATTAAGGGTCATAGCTACAACTTATTTATCAAAATGATTACTTTTCTAAAATAATACTTTCTCAGACCATCTAGAGTGAATGAAGGTATTTCACCCAAACAACATTTCCATTTAAATGATTTATTTTTTGAAGAGTTCAAAGAGTATTAAATTTACTATTGTTATGATGCCAATGTTTAAACAAATGGACCATGTGAAGTCATGTGAGATGGAGCTCAGGCGTTGACAGATGCTGAGAAATGGCTTCATTACAGCATTTATCTCTCACATTCAACCCCCCCCAAAAAAAGAAGAAATAAAGATTTGGGGTGTTGGTGCTGAATTAATGAAGCAAAGGGCTGAGTTAAATTAGCATTAGCAGACCTGGCAACCGGCAGGCAAATTGTACGGAAAAATAACAAACAAGTGCTCCACCTACTGGGCTGGAGGATGAGTTAAACTTGTAGCTATCACCTTCAGTAATGGTAGCAAACAACGAAACAGCGTTGCAGACATGAAGCCAATCTGAGGACCTTATGAATACTGACAATTAACTGAAAATATGAAGAAAAACAGGAGCAAACAGCAAAATGAGGAGGTGTAGGTACCAGATTGACTCGGGCTGCCAGATTGACTCTGGGGCCTGCGCCTTTTGATGACGTCACAATACATAATTGTTTTAACGTTTGCACAATTGCGCAAAACATTTTGATTGGTCTGGACAGCTTACTAAAGTAATTATAGCGGGGTGTAGGTTTTATTCGAAAGCGGGATTGCGGTTTGTAAACGGACAATTTTACGAAGAAATTCTCCATGGTCCCTGCGCCTTCCGATGACGTCACCGAATTCACCATGGGCCTTGCGCCTCCCGATGACGTCACATTATGGCAACGCCACTCAAACAAACTACATTGAGCCCGCGGTCTGCATTTGTAATGAGAATAAATTCAGGAGAATGAAGCTAAAGGGATACAAAAAATAAACTTGTAATATTACAAAAACAAAAATACTACGAATACAAAGTATAATCAGAGATTAAAGTCCCTCTGATATTGTTTAAGTGACTGAGTTGCCATATCGTTACGAGTGGCGTTGCCATATAGTTAGGGGCGGAGTTGCCATATTATGACGTCATCAAAAGGCACAGGCCCCCGAGTCAATCTGGCAGCCCGAGTCAATCTGGTACCTACAGAGGCACTGTTGAACTGAATCTACTAGTTAACTGCCTGGTGGAGGGAGAAATTATTAAACAGGGAAAACAAAAAAAGAAAGTAGGAGAACATACTCAATAACTTAAAACACAAAGAACTGAAAACAAAAAGAAATGCAGTTTCTAGTTTATTCCTCAATAGTTTAAGGCCCTGTCCACACAAAGTCAAACCCTGGCCTAAACGCACAAATTTTTCACCAAACCAGCCTCTCATCCATACGAAGCCGGCGTTTCGGGGGTCTGTAAACTATCTTTTTTTTATTCAGCCTTCAGAGTGGGAAGATTTTGAAACGCCGTTTTCGCGTTTCCATCTTTAAGCTCTAACCTCATTTTTTTTCTTACACGCATGCGTCATAGCATCGCCTCTAAACACGCATGCGCGACACAGTATCACAACAACAATGGCCCGTACTGTGTTGAATGGTTGCTGCTCATGCTACTCACCCTGCTGTCGGGCTTACAACAGAATCTTCTTCTTCTGGAATATCTCCAGGAAGAACAGAGCAATATCGACGACATAGTTCAGCACCTGAATTTGACTGAACCACGAAAATGGACCCGCAGGGCAACCATGTATAAATATTAGTGCGCATGCCCAACATTTCGTTGCCTGTTTTTGCCTATTTTTGCTTTGGCACCACAGCGCCACTTACAGGCCTGGCATACATTTTGCAGCGTTTTCATGCATTCGTGTGGACGCTCACATTTATTTTACGTCTCCGTCTTTACGACAAACTTTCTGGAAAATATTAGCGTTTCGTGTTCGTTTTGACTTCGTGTGGACGGGGCCTAAGTCACGATTAAGAAGGACCCAGTATTCATGCAGCACAGACAGTGGGATTACTCAAAAGCGCTTATTTAAGCCTCGAACAGATCTGTGGTAGCTGCGGTTAGGGCATCTAAGGCAGGAAACTCTAGGGAGAGGAAACACGGGTTACTGACCATGTAAATCTAAGGAAGATTATAAACCTGAGATTGGTTCAGTCCATAGTCAGAGGGCGAGGAAGGATCCAGCTGGTTGGCTGCCAACAAGATGGGACGGACGCCGCCCAGAGTGTCCCAGAGGCTGCAGCACTGGAGAACAGGCAGGAGTCCGGAGCCAGGTCAGGCAAACTGATCAGAACAGACAGACTCCAGGAATCCAAAGACAATTCAGGCAAACCGTTAAGATGGTAACAGGCAGGCTTAGTGATTGAGAGGTAGAACAGGTCAGGGTCAGGTAATCAGAAACATTAAGGTACTCTGAAATCCCTCTCACCACAGGCTAGAGAGAACAAGAGAAACGTGGCGCTGATGACTGGATGCAAGAAGCTTAAATAGTGAAAGCAGCAGGTGGATCAGATGAGAGGTAATCGAAATCGGGCAGGGTTAGATAGGTGAATGGAATGAGTAATTAAACCAGTCATCACAACAGTTTTTTGAGGAATAAACTAGAAACCGCCAGGAAAAGGTAGTAAGCATAGATTTTATGGCAAACTCCAAATGGCAGAAATGGATGATAATCTCCTGGAAATCAGTTTTTGGAACTTGGGATGTCTGGATTAGGGCTCAATCCAGGGTCAAATGGTTTTCAGTAGGTTTGAGAATTTTTACACAATTCTGGCACATTCCTCGCACTAAGATTATGTATGTCTCTGTTTATATTTGCTTTAGTGAGTTTTTTCATATTAGACAGAGAACAAATGATTACTTTCTACAGCCTCTTTCCAACTGAAAATAGCAGGTTAATGCTTGTTTTTTAAACATGGGTTGACCCGCTAACAATCAGCGTTTGGCTCCATTCCCACTGGCTAATAAAGCTGGTCTAACCCCTCGCTGGCAGCTGCGTAGGTCATGATTTTCTTAAGAGATCTGACCCACATTCAGTAAGCCACTCAGAGAACCAGGGTAAAAGTTTAACAAGTTTATTGAGGAGATGAACGGGGGTTGGATTCAGGAAACTCAGGGTACTTGTGAACCGGAACTGGAAGAGGGAAGGGAAGTATCAGCGGTTAGTTCAGGGTCTGTGGGAACTTTGAATGATGACTTGGAGAAACAGAGGAAACAGGTCTCCCTGTGTTCGAGAAAACTTTCTTCCCAGGATCCAGTCAGTGTGGGTTTTTCCAGAGAAAGGTGCTCGTTGGAGGGCGGACAGGTTTAGACTTGGTTGGCTTCTGATGAGCTATGGAGCAGACTGTCACTCGGAAATCCGGGAGGTCTTGAACGGAAGTTTGAGTCTGTTTGAGTCTCCCACTGAGCAGGTTAATCCCCTGCTCAGTGTGAGACTCAAACAATCCTACCAGGGGTAGAAGGCCAAAACATCCAGCTGGTAGGATGATTTCCTGCCGAAAGGCAAAGAAAAATCTCAGCTTGGCTAGAGTACCCAAAACTGGCAAACACTCTGGCGTCGAGGTAGTGACAATCCATCGCACAAATAGTCCTCAGGAATGAGCCAACCAGCCGCAGGTGTGTGGGAGGACCAACGAGAACAGGTCACCACCTGGTGGTGGAGGGAGAGAAAAACACAAAAAAACAAGCCACTCAAACTGGATTCCTAACAGCGTGGCCTCTGTCCCCCCACGGCTGCATGTCTGGTGACATCATCATCATCACGTTGATTATGTCATCAGTGTGACAGAAGTCCGGAAAGTAAACAATGGAGAGCATCATTGAAGGAAGCCAGGGCGTAGTGAGTGTGCTTTATTGTTTCTCTCTATTATCTGTCTGAATCCCTCTCACCAGAGCTGCTCCATGTTTATACAATGTAAACAAAGTTGTTTCTGCTTTTTGGATCAGAAGCGACTGCCGCGGTGAGTCGACGTCCATGCATTGCGATCAATGGTGTCACGTAAATTAGCGGGTCAACCCTGCTCTGGTGTTCACACAGCATGCTGATCACAGCCGAGCCAATTTTAATGCAGGTTGCTTGCCGAGTCGTTTCACGCAGGTAGACATGCGTCCGTGAGCTGTTCCCACTCCTACTAAAAGCCCATTGTTCCAGGTTTTAAAGAAGTCGGCTCATATTCAGAATTCAAACTTCTGAAAGTCCTTTAAATATGAAATTATTCCATCCTGTTCAATAAATGATCAGTGTTTTTAATTCAGAGTAATTTTCACGTGAATGTGCTTTACTGGAGGCATCCATGTTTGTCAAAGAACACTACTGCCACCTACTGGTTAGTGACGTCACGGTGCGGTATCGGCTGTTGATCAAGTCCCAGTGCTGTATCTGGTGTTTGTCACAACGCGCTATTATCCAAGTCATCTTGAAAACATTCTTCTTCCAAATGTTGGCTACATATTACGGGTTTTTTCTCTGGCCAGAAGTTCGATGGCAAATCCTCCCTCTTCAAGTTGGCGATCCAACGACCAACCCGTCCGTGGAGGATCAGGAATCAGAAAGGTGAAATAAGTCTTTTTTTCCACTTTTCCCCGATGTATTCCAGCATCCAGCTGCCATGCACGTGGGCATTGTCAGTTTCACTATAGCTCTGGTGAATTTCAATGGTGAAGTCCTCTGGAAATCTTCAATAATTGTTGTTGATTGCAGATGTGTCTAGTAGTTCCCATTGATTTAGCTTGGAAAGCGGGGAGAATGGCGCTAGGCTTACCGCACCGTGACGTCACTGCTGGAAGATGGCAGGAGGGAGGGGCTACTATATTTGGGAAAAAAATGGCCGCTCCCAGACTCAGTGATCCCAACAAAAGTTATTGTTATTTTTTTACTGATTAACGCTTCATTCATTAAATCACTGCACACATATTAGTTTTAGGTATAAATAATGATCCATTGATTATTCCTTGCTGACCGAACTTTTCCTTAAAAAGGGTTTCAGTGGGAAAGGGGTATATGACAGGAAAAATGTGAAGTCTTGCGTCTGATGTATGGTGCACATAACTGCATTGGCCTATCCTGCTATCTTTGCTTATTTAAAGGGGAATTTTAATCCATATTGATAATATTCTTCGTTCTGAAGGATTTAGACCTCTCAGTACCATGTGAACTATATGAAAAACACTTATATAATGGGAATAATATGGGAATATTACGGGAATGGCACCATTTCTAAGTGTGCTGTTCTGTTTTGTCCTCTCACCTTTTTCATATACAGTCTGCACTCATCTTTTTATTTGTGTGTTAATGCAGAACGACGAGGCAAGGCTTGGCCCTCCTATTATCACATGTACGCGATCCTACGGAGCTGAGGCAGAAAGCGACGGTGTTAAAAACGCCCGACGGCCCGACTCCCAGGAGATACAAGACAGGTCAGTTACAAAAACCAAAGTGGTCCTTTTGATTCTGGGAAGACTATTTAGACCAAACATGTGATTGGATTGGCGTCTGTTCTTTTCATCCTCAGAGAAGAGCAGTTCGAGGACTATGGTGAGGGGGTAGATGTAGATTTCAGCCCCAGCAGTCCGTGCCCAGAAGAAGACAGCAGGACAAACGGCTTCTCAGACCTCAGCTCCTCACTGCCCTCCAGGTTTGTGTGGAAAAAAACACCAAATCAAAAACTTTTCATTCGTTCTCAGATCATTTTTTAACACATGTTAAAGGTTTAGTGGAGGATGTTCTTTTTTTGGGTGGATCATCAAAATTAGTGGTCCTCCTAACTGTCAATCATTCTGGTGATGTTTAAACAAACCTGTCCAACGTACTTGACCCCATTTTCACTTACTGGTGGTGAGTCTGACATTGTGGCAAAATTACAAATCTTCTTTTGGAAAGTAAGCTTGTATGAGTGTCGCAAACAACAGCTTTTAAACAGAGTGTGCACAGGAAGAAATGGGCTTGTGCACGCTCTCACACGTGTTTAATTGACTTTCCCTCTTGGGAGTAAGTATAGGGTTGTCCATGTGCATTTTTGATTTAATGTGGAGAGGGTAGGTCTAAAAAAATTTGCGAAGATTCTCCACAATACCTTAAAAATGTAAACGGCTCATACTTGTAATGGTAAATATAGTTTTTATCCGTTTGAGTCACTAAAACCAGTGCAAAGTTCTTAAGGAAATGTTCTGCTGCTGTTTTGCCAAACTGCAGCTATAATAATTGAAGGTTTCAGTCAGTTTAACGCACTCTGTCATGTTCCGCTTAAACCCTGTTGCGTAATCTACAAGAACAGAGGAAGCTGCTCTTGTTCTCCAGTAGGTGAGAACCAGAAAAGAGTTTTCTCTGCTTCTGAGGTTCAGAATTAACAGAAACCCGTCCGTCATCCGTCACAGCTGCAAAACAATGGAAGGGGGGGCCTGTTTTAAGACGGATGAGGAGAGCAACAAGGTTTCTATTACTAAGTATATCAGCAGATCCTCAGATTATACAGTTTGTATCAGATCACCGTACAGACGTTGAAGCCAGAAAAAAACAGGTATTTTCAACCCAAAAGACAAAAAAAGTAAATCATCTGCTTTACCTGCTTCACAAACCTTCCAAATCCTCACTGACTGAATCCTGAACCTTTGGCAATTTGTTCCACTTCAGCCAATCAGGGACTAGGTAGGGTGTGACGCAGAGTGAAGGAAACTTCTCTCAGTCGTGATGGAAGATTGATTAATTAATGTTGAATTAAGCCACCCGAAATAATAAAAGTCACTGAATATTGAGTAAAGACTAGACGTCCCAGGCCCAGGTTGAATGCTTAGAATTTTGACAGATATTTCAGGACATACTTTTTGGTACATCAGAAAATCCAAAAGTAATGATTAATTAATCTGCCGAAATTGAATTACCAACTATAATAACAAACTAATACTGAAGTTAATAAATACAGTAATGCAATAATAAATATGCAGCCATCAAGTTTCTCCCACTGAGTCTTGTCAGGGTCGTGGTGGGGGCGGTGCCTATCTCTGCCAGTCTATGGGCGAGAGGTGGGGTACATCCTGGACAGGTCGCCAGTCTGTCGCAGGGCATCACAGAGACACACAACCACGCACACACACACATACTGAAGACCATGTTCATTAGCATCCCTCTAACTATGATGCTTTATCTCTAGAAGATGCGGCAGCTTCTGAGGGAACCATAGAATCTGAAAGTAGTTTTCATTAGTGTTGCGCCGATGCCATTTTTTGGCCCTGATACCGATACCCGATACCTGGCTGTGGAGTATCGGCCGATACCATAATACTGTAAAATAATCGCCATCATGGCTTTGTCAAGCTGCTGCCTACCTTTGTGAAGCAGGAAAAAATCTAATACAAAGAGAATCCAGTAGAACTTTTTATTGCCTACCAGGAGTGGGTGACAATAGTTGAATAAACTTATGGCTCTCAAAATGATATCGGTGCCTTATTTGTTGGTACTTGCCGATACCGATACCAGTATCTGGGCCCCGCCTGATACTGGTATCGGTATCGGTGCAACACTAGTTTTGATCCAGTTGAACTTTCTGAGTTAGCAAAACTATTGTCTTCATCTAAGCCTTCAACTTGGATGTTAGATCCAGTTCCAAACAGGTTATTTAAGGTGGTATTCCCTTTGATCTCCTCCTCCATTTTAGATGTGATTAATCTATCTCTGTTACAGGGATATGTACCTAAAGCTTTTAAGGTTGCTGGAATTAAACCTCTGCTTAAGAAACCGTCTCTTGACCCAGATGACTTGGTCAATTATAGACCTATATCTAATCTTCCTTTCTGATCTAAAATTCTTGAGAAAGTAGTTGCCAAACAAGTGTGTGATCACTTCCACCATAATGAAGTTTTTGAAGAGATTCAATCTGGCTTTAGAGCTCATCATAGCACTGAAACAGCTCTGGTGAAAGTCACTAATGATATTCTCATGGCCTCAGAAATAAACTTGTATCTGTGCTCGTCCTGTTAGATCTCACACTGGAAAAAATCTAAATCTAAGTCATATTTTCTCAAAATAAATGCATTTGTTTTTGGATTGAGGAGGTAAAAGAGACATGCTGCCAATGGAACAAGACAATTTACACTTTAAATAAGAAAACACGATTGCATTGTCGTATTTCAAGTGCATGTTATCTAATTATCTCATTTCAAGAATAAAAAAACTCATTCCATTGGCAAACTATTTCATTTACCTACTCAAATTAAGGGCAAATACACCTAATTTATGAAATTTTTACTTATTTTTAGATCGTTTTTCCAGTTAACCTGTGGAGTACCACAGGGATCAGTGTTAGGATCGCCTGTGGAACTGGTTGACAGTTGCCTTTTGTATCTATGCTTCTTTTTCTATGTCTGCTTCTGTCTCCTTGAACCCCAGTGGGCCTCAGCAGATGGCCGCTCACACTGAGCCTGGTTCTGCTGGAGGTTTCTTCCTGTTCAAAGGGAGTTTTTCCTCTCCACTGTCGCTACAACCATGCTCGGTGTGAGGGATTGCTGAAGAGTCAATGAGTCGATGCAATCAGCTGGTTTTCCTTAGATAGAAAACTTTGAATCAATCTGACTGGATGATCTGGTTTCTATAAAGAGCCTGGATGTGATGTGAATTGGTGCTATAGAAATTAACTGAATTGAAATTACATTACATTAACACCCAGCAGTGTTGATGACAGCTGAAATAAGATTATTTCCAGATCAGTTAAAGATCAGATTTCTGCCTTTCTGTCAGAACTGACCGTTTTTTGTGCATCGTAAATCTTTTCACCAACAGATCGTCTGTTAAAATGTTCTATTGTCCAGACTTTGTAAAAAACAAAGGTGATCTAGAACATCCTCCTGCTTGGTTGCCTTCAATCTCCTATTTTTTATTGTTCTATTGAATCTATCCATTTGGTTTGTGATGTTTCTGTCTGGTTATTGGTTCCATCTTGTCCTGTTTTAAATGCAGCGGTGGCCACACTCCTCAGAAGATGCAGCAGCTGTACAACAGTGACCTGCTGGACATCTACTGCTCTCAGTGCTGCAAGAAAGTTAATCTCCTCAATGACCTCGAGGCTCGCCTGAGAAACCTCAAAGCAAACAGGTAGGAGGGTGCATATTAGTGCATCACACTCACAGCATGGCTGCTGGCTTATTATCATCACAACACAGCTCAGAATAGCTGTTAGAGGATCTATGGAGTGAATTTTGTTCCATGATTGTACCGAGGACAGTATATATTTTGTAAGTGGAAATGTTAAAATAAATGCAAAGAGAAACCTTTCATTTAAAAAAAGGTTAAAGAGTAACTTTGCTCATTTTGTTTAGATTTTATTTCTTTAAAATATATTTTTAGTACTTTTTTATTACAGATTTTGTATTTTGAAATTAAATGTTTTTCAAATATTTCTTTTCAGATTGAGTTTTCTGAAATGCATTCTTTTTAAAACATGTTTCTCTTTACTCTAAGCCTCTTTTAACGCACACATTGATTAATAAAAAGGTTTTTGCTAACGTCCAGCAGACCAATAGAAATACGACTTTACTCATCACTCCAGAGAAAACCAGAGAAAAGCTGGAACATGCAAATTAAGAGGAATTAAATTTGTAAAACTCAATCTGAAAGAGAAATGTGAACAAATTAAATTCTAAGGAAAATAAAAATTAAATATGAAAAATTGAAAAAAATTGAAAAATTAAAATTTGAGAAAAAATTTTTTTTATATTAAAATGTTTTCAATTTGCTTGCAACAATAATGACACAAAATTCACTCCATAAATGTGCAGGAATCCAATCAAATCTAGCTGATTCATTTTGGCACCAAACGGTGCAACCAGATAAAAAGGTTGAATTGTTTCTATGGCAACTACAGCCAGACCGGGTGGGATGAGCAGCAGCGACTTTTACATGTATGAGTCATTGCAGTTGTTAGACTAGGTTAACTGAGAAGTAGACTGAATATAAAACAAAAAGCAGTTTTTAGAGCAGCAATATTCTCTGTTGGAAACCAGCTGAATAAAAAAGTTTGAACCGTTTTTCCATCCTGTGTTTCAGCCCTAATAGGAAGATTTCCAGCACAGCGTTTGGACGGTGAGTAAATGATCATCTAATGGCGCTTACTAGCAGATGTCAGACATGTTTTGTTGAAGAAGAGAACAAAGCTTATGTACGCCACGGCGTGCGTCCCTGTTGTCTGAGGAGTAATCATCTTCCTGGTTTTGCTGCCCCCCCCCTGCAGCCAGCTGTTCCAGGCCAACCTCTGTGTTTTTGGTTCCAGTCAGGTCAGCAGCACAGAGGATTTGTTTACAGACAGCATTGACTCCTGTGACCTCGACATCACAGAGAAAGTACGTTGACTGCACACCAGTACCCAAACACACACATTCGATGTCCTGCTATCCTTATGGGGACTTTCCACTGACTTCCATTCATTTCTGTGGGGATAACCCAGACCTTCACTCTACCCATTAGCAACACATCCCTAATCCTAAACTAATCTAAACTCATCCACGCCATAGTCCTAAATCTAAGAACAGAAGCTTTCCTCATGGGGACCAGTCTGTAATCCTATGGAGTGAATTTTATTCCATTATTCTTGCAAGGAAAAAACACATTTTGTGATGGAAACTTGAAAGTATTAAAACTTTCAAAAACCTCCTGACCAAGAAAATATTTTTAGAGTGAGTTTTCTCTTATCTCAGTATTATTTTATTTTTACATTTTCATATTTTTTTATTTTATTTTTCAAATTTCTGTATTTCAGATTAAGTTTAACAAATTGCATTCTTTTCTAATTTAATTTATAGATCAAATTCAAGTAAATTTCCATTCAGTTTATTCCATTTAATTCACAACAGGTGTCATCTCCAGGCACTTTAGAGAGAAAATACAGTCAGATTGGTTTGGAAAACCAGCTGATGCTTCCAATCATTGACCTATAAGACATGCTGCTCCTGGATGAGCTTACGGCGACGATCCCTGCTGGCATTGATTGGTTGAATCTTCAGGAATCCCTGAGACTGAACATAAATGCTGCGACAGATCACAGGATTTTTTCATTGGCTTGAGGTGAAGAGAACGTAAGCTGTAAAACGCAATTAGAAAATATTTCAATTTATAAATCAGCGTCTGAAAAAGAAAAACATTAAATAAATGAGAAAATGGGGAAAAAATATGAAAAAAGAAAAAATCTAATGAAACAGAAGAGTCTCTCCAAACTTTTTTTGATTAAGAAGTTTTTTTTAACTTTCACTTCATATTTTATGTACATAGATGCTCTAATCAGGAGCTGCCTTTGCAAGGGTGCATTTGCTTTTTTTATTTTACGCTCTCTGATGCCCATTTCATAATCTAATCGATTCTGATTCAAAAAATTTTTTCTACACTACAAAAAATAGAAATCTGAATTATTCATTTTTTCTTGAATTGAGGAGGAAAATGAGGCACTTTGCCAATGGAAGAACAATTTAGATTTGAAACAAGAAAAAAAAAACAGTTTCATTGTCCTATTTCAAATGCTTATTATCTAACTGAGAGGCTGCTCAGCGGCGCAGTGGCTAGCCCAGCTTGGGGTCTTTCTACATGGAGTTTGCATGTTCTCCGTGGGTTCTCTCAGGCTACTCCGGCTTCTTCCCATAGTCCAATTAATTGGCTTCTCTAAATTCACCTTAAGTGTGAGTGTGAATGGTTGTTTGTCCTGTTTGTCTCTGTGTTGCCTGTGGCGACCTGTCCAGGGTGGACCCGCCTCTTGCCTGTAGACAGCTGGAGATTGGCACCAGCCCCCCTCGCCACCCCACTCGGGATAAAGTGTGTCAGAAAAAGGATTATCTCATTAGCTGAGTGAAAATAATCCTTCCATTGACAAATCATCTTATTTATCAACTCAAATTAAGGGTAAATACCCTTAATTTAAGGAATTAATACTTATTTCTAGATCATATTTCTAGAGAAACTCAGTTTTAGTGACAATACATTTGAAAAAAAGAGTAAGACACTAAATTCCTCCCTAGGTGGCGTTAATATGATTAAGGTGGGAATGCTGTCGCACTGAAGGGAACAGAGAGTTGCATCTAGCACATAGATCTGTGCATTATAGAAAAGGAAGAACTTTTTCATGCAAATGATACAGTAAAATCCTGCAGTGCTGAACTCTGGACAAGCAGGTTTTCAAGGTCATGGATAAAAACTGAAACCCTGGAGTCAAACATCTACATGGTTTTGCTTAGTGCAAAGGAAAATCGCAATAAAATCGTAATATCGATGGAAAATAATCGCAATTCTGATTTTTAGCTAAATTGTTCATTTTTAGTCTGTGATCAGAGGACATGTCAGAGACTGGCATTCTGGGTTTTATGTGTTTTTGTTTTGTTTTTTTTAAGTGAATATTTTGAAAATGTTACGTTGTTTTATAGTTTTATAAAAATGGCAAAATAACTGTCCTTTCTACAGTTTCTACAGGGATCTGATGTTTTTCTTTGTCTTTGAGAGGCTTTTGTTCTTTAACCCCTTAAGCCCACAAGGTCTTAGGAGCAAATTCTGCCTGACATTACATATGTGAATTAAAGAAAGCACAGCTCCCAAACTATACATTGGAAATACAATTGTTTGTATTTGTATGACAGAAAGGCATTGAGGAATATTTTTTTCTTTTTTCTTTGTGTAATCACCTATAAATCAGATTTGGTGACAATCAAATTACTGATTTATAGGTGATTAAACCAAAAAATAATGAAAAATATTTAGCATCACCAAATTGTTTTCCAAAACAAACACTGCAAAACACCATGAAACCCCATTAGAAACTCTTGTTGAACCGTCAGACTTTATATATCCACACCTTGATTATAAGTCAAGCTAATTTGGACTGAATAAGTTGAATCATGTGTGTTTCACAAAGGTTTTAGTGGGCGGGGTGCTAGGCGGAAATGTGATTTTGGCATAATGCCAAAAATGTATTTTTCTTCCACTCATAAAAGGTAAACTGGTGATCAATCTGTCTTAAACCTTAATAGAAATAGAAAGTGGTTGGTTGATGCATTTATTGAATATAATAATATAATAAAATAAGTGCATTTGTTCTAGAATGGAGAAGGTAAAAGAGACATTTTGCCAATAGAACGAGACTATTTACATTTAAAATAAGAAAAAAACAATTGCATTGTCTTATTTCAAGTGCATTTTATCAAAATATCATATTTTAAGAGTAAAAATACTTATTCCATTGGCAGATCATCTCATTTACTTGCTCAAATTAAGGGTGGATACACTTAATGTATCCCTCAGCGTTTCATGACCACTGAACGTGGCTGTGGTCCCTCTGCTCAGGTCAGCTTCCTGGAGAAGAAGGTGACGGAGTTGGAGAGTGACAGTTTGGCCAACAGTGACCTCAAGTCTAAACTCAAACAGGAGAACACCCACCTTGTTCACAGGTGAGGAGAAAACATCTAGTTCTCCTTCAGAGCCAGATTAACTCCTATGAAGCTGTTTCATCACAAACGCGTTAATATTTGGTCTAAGATGAAGCTCATGTTGGAACGTAGGATAGAGGATGATTTCCCTGTTTTCTATGCATTAATCACATTTATTGCCCTTCCAACGTGTGATAAGTACATATGATGGATCGATGCATCTCATCAAGACAAACGTTTGCCTCTCAGGGTGCATGAGCTGGAAGAGCAGGTGAGGGATGCAGAGACGAAGGCTGCAGAGACGCTGGGAAAGGAGATGAAGAGGCACCGGGAGGCTTCCAGCAAGATGGAACGAGACAGAAACGCAGAGATAGACCTGCTCTGCTGCAGGTAACCCAAACTAACGCAAACTTTGTTTAAGAAGCTTATTTTAACCAAAAGCATCCAGAACCAAATGGTAAAAGGTCTGAGGTCGCCTGCAGCTGTGTGGCTGTTCTTTATCAGGCTGATGAGGAGGCTGCTGCAGTCATCGGGTAAATCGTTTTGGAAATGTGGAATGCACGTTAACAGTAACATCCTGTGGGATATTTTTATACTCTGTGTTGTGCAACTGTAATATATTTATTGGCCGCCCCAGTCAGGGTGATAAATAATCAGATCATATATGACTATTGAGTCATATATTGTTTATGAACACAGGCCCTACTGGCTTTGTGTTAGAACAACATTGAAAGAGGGAATCAAGCTCAAATCAGATAATTCTGCTCATATATGGAATAAAATAACCGCAACTTTAATCAATTCAATTCAATTCAGTTTATTTCTATAGCTCCAATTCACATCATGTCATCTCAGGTCACTTTCCAGTTCACCAGATCATCCAGTCAGATTGATTCAAAGTTTTCTATCTAAGGAAAACCAGCTGATTGCATCGACTCATTGACTCTTCAGCAATCCCTCACACTCATAGGTGGATTAATGACCGGGCCTACCGGGCCCAGGCCCAGGGGGCCAGAGGCCCCAAGGGGCCAGGCCAACTTGGCCCCGCGGCCGCGACCCAAGCAAAACTACTTTTGTAAAAATAATAATCTTAGGCCCCAAGGGGCCAGGCCAACTTGACCCCGCGGCCACGATCCATAGAGGGTAAGAGGCCCCAAGGGGCCATGATCCATAGAGGGTAAGAGGCCCCAAGGGGCCAGGTCAACTTGGCCCCGCGGCCACGACCCACAGAGGGCCTGAGGTCCTAAGGGGTCAGGCCAACTTGGCCCCGCGGCCATGATCCATAGAGGGTAAGAGGCCCCAAGGGGTCAGGCCAACATGGCCCCGCGGCCATGATCCATAGACGGTCAGAGGCCCCAAGGGGCCAGGCCAACTTGGCCCCGCGGCCACGATCCATAGACGGTCAGAGGCCCCAAGGTGCCAGGCCAACTTGGCGCGCGGCCACGATCCATAGAGGGTCAGAGGCCCCAGGGGGCCAGGTCAACTTGACCCCGCGGCCACAATCCATAGACGGTCAGAGGCCCCAAGGGGCCAGGCCAACTTGGCCCCGCGGCCACAACCCACAGAAGGCCAAAGGCCTCAAAGGGCCAGGCCAACTTGGCCCCGCGGCCGCAAGCCACAGAAGGCCAGAGGCCCCAAGGGGCCAGAGGCCCCAAGGGGCCAGGCCAACTTGGCCCCGCGGCCACGACCCACAGAAGGCCAGAGGCCCCAAAGGGCCAGGCCAACTTGGCCCCGCGGCCGCAAGCCACAGACGGTCAGAGGCCCCAAGGGGCAAGGTCAACTTGGCCCCGCGGCCACGACCCACAGAGGGCCTGAGGTCCTAAGGGGTCAGGCCAACTTGGCCCCGCGGCCATGATCCATAGAGGGTAAGAGGCCCCAAGGGGTCAGGCCAACATGGCCCCGCGGCCATGATCCATAGACGGTCAGAGGCCCCAAGGGGCCAGGCCAACTTGGCCCCGCGGCCACGATCCATAGACGGTCAGAGGCCCCAAGGTGCCAGGCCAACTTGGCCCCGCGGCCACGATCCATAGAGGGTCAGAGGCCCCAGGGGGCCAGGTCAACTTGACCCCGCGGCCACAATCCATAGACGGTCAGAGGCCCCAAGGGGCCAGGCCAACTTGGCCCCGCGGCCACAACCCACAGAAGGCCAGAGGCCCCAAAGGTCCAGGCCAACTTGGCCCCGCGGCCGCAAGCCACAGAAGGCCAGAGGCCCCAAGGGGCCAGAGGCCCCAAGGGGCAGGGCCAACTTGGCCCCGCGGCCACGACCCACAGAAGGCCAGAGGCCCCAAAGGGCCAGGCCAACTTGGCCCCGCGGCCGCAAGCCACAGACGGTCAGAGGCCCCAAGGGGCAAGGTCAACTTGGCCCCGCGGCCGTGACCCACAGAGGGCCTGAGGTCCTAAGGGGTCAGGCCAACTTGGCCTTGCGGCCATGATCCATAGAGGGCCAGAGGCCCCGAGGGGTCAGGCCAACTTGGCCCCGATCCATAGAGGGTCAGAGGCCCCAAGGGGCCAGGCCAACTTGGCCCCGCGGCCACGACCCACAGAGGCCCCAAGGGGCCAGGCAAAATTGGCCCCGCGGCCATGATCCACAGAGGGCCAGAGGCTCTTAATCATTATTATCAAAGCTAATTCTCAAATTGGATGGATCACACAACCTCACTCACATATTCTTTATCAATTATTAAAGGTTGTTTCTGAATTTTGATCACAGAACATAATGCAAATATTCTTGATTGATTGACAAAGCTCATTCTCAAATTTTGATTACACAACCTTACTCTGACAAATTATCATTATCAAAAAGCTCTATCTCGAATTTGGATCAAAGAATCTCACTCAAGTATTCTTAGCTGTGCCCCTCCCCCATCGAGTCTTTCATAAACCGGTCTGTTCTTTTAGAATCTCCTCATTTGGTATTTTGAACTCGTGAGAGACTGCTCAAAATTTGGTTTCCTTTCCCTCAGTTCAGACTCAGAGATAATTTGAAATCATTCAACAAGAAGTTTAACGCGGGCACACACACACACACACACACACTTGAGTTGAGCATTACTTGGAAATTCTTATATTTTCCATTTTTGTCATGATAGAAAAGAACGACTCAGGATCAGAGCAACCACGGAGACAGACAGTTAGTTTTAACTGGTTTATTGTAAAGTGCTGGTAGACAGGTGATGACTGGTTTGGTATCTTCTGGCCTGCTTGGAGGGCGAAGGAGGTGGTCAGAAACAGCCTGTGGCAGTAAGAATGTGGAGAGCTCAAAACTCACAGAGTGGGAGGCTTGCCCGGAGCCAGGGGGGGTGAAGTCTGTGGTCCGGTGCAATCCAGCGGTTCCCTCAGTCTCTCTTGTGCAGATGGTTTTTGAGGGTGGACAGGCAGGCGATCAGAGGAGTCCAGCTCCCTGGCTTGTGATTTCTCTGGCTTGGATTTCAGGTTCACGCTGGAAGCGAGAAAGAACTGACGCCCTCCTCCTGGTCTCTGCTCCTTAAGAAGGGCTGAAATCAGCAGTGATGAGGAGCACCTGCCAGTCCACCCTGCAGAGAAGAGAGAGAGAGAGACAACCCATCCCTGAACCCAGGCCTGGAGCATGACAGCACCCCCCCTCTAACGGACGCCCCCTGGCGGCCGTCCAGTGGAGGAGGCCTCGAAGGCTGAGATGAGGCCGGGATCCAAAATGAACGAACGAGGAACCCAGGACCGCTCCTCAGGGCCGTACCCCGCCCAATCCACCAGAAACTGGAAGCCGCGGCCACGACGCCTAGGAGCCACTATGCGTCGAACCGTGAAGGCAGGGTGACCATCCACAATCCGGGCGGGTGGAGGGGGTCTGGAAGGAGGGCATAACGGGCTAGAGGTGACAGGCCTAATTTGAGACACATGAAAAGTAGGGTGTACACGAAGGTGAGGCGGAAGCCTGAGCCGGACTGCTGTAGGACTGATGATGCGGGCGATCTTAAAGGGACCGAGGAACTTAGGGGCCAGTTTCTTTGACACAGCCTTTAGGGGAAAATTCCTAGAAGACAACCACACCTCTTGTCCAGGGAAATAGATAGGCGCCGGGATGCGTTTGCGGTCAGCAAACTTCTTGTTTCGAATGGAGGTACATTCAAGGGCGGCTTTGGTCTGATCCCAGACTTTGCGGCACTGCTGAAGGTATGACCTGACGGATGGAAAGGTTGGATCAGGGAAGGAAGAGGGAAGGAGTGTGGGCTGATAACCTAGGGATGCCTCAAAGGGGGACAATCCAGTGGCTGCTGAAATGTGCGAGTTATGTGAGTACTCCACCCATGCAAGGAGCTGACTCCAGGAGGAGGGGTTGTGGGAGCAGACACAATGGAGGGTGTTCTCCAACTCTTGATTCAGCCTTTCGCACTGACCATTAGACTGGGGATGGAATCCAGATGTAAGTGAGACCTTAGCCCCCAGGCACTGACAGAAACGACGCCAAACTTGGGAAACAAACTGTGGGCCACGGTCAGACACAATTTCAGTCGGCAAGCCATGGAGTCTAAACACATGGTCGAACAAAAGTCTGGCAGTCTGGTGAGCAGATGGAAGTTTGTTCAGTGGTATCAGATGGCATGCCTTGGAGAACCTGTCGATGACGGTGAGGATGACCGTCTTGTGATTGGATGGGGGTAGACCAGTGACGAAATCCAGGGCTATGTGTGACCACGGACGACTAGGCGTGGGTAGAGGTTGGAGGAGGCCAGAAGGTGGTCTGCTGGAACATTTGTTGCGGGCACAGACAGGACAGGCAGAAACAAACTCAAAAACATCCCTGTTTAGGGACGGCCACCAGAAATATCGTCTGATGAAGGCAATGGTGCGACTGGAGCCAGGGTGACCAGAGAACCTAGATGAATGCCCCCAGCGGATTACCTGGGAACGGACAGCAGAAGGGACATAGAGTCGGCGGGGAGGGCCGCCTCCAGGATCAGGTTCATTCTCCAGCGCCCGTTGAATCTGTTTCTCCAATCCCCAGGCGATCGCCCCAATGACGCAGGATTTGGGGATGATGGTCTCTGGATCAGTGGAATCAGGGGCGGCAGGAAACAGTCGGGACAGTGCGTCTGGTTTAACGTTTTTGGAGCCAGGGCGGTAGGTGATGGTAAAATGGAAACGTGAAAAAAAAAGTGCCTAACGGCTCTGACGAGAGTTCAGGCGTTTAGCAGACTGGATGTAGGAAAGGTTCTTATGATCTGTCCAGATAATAATTGGCAACTCTGTCCCCTCCAACCAGTGGCGCCACTCCTCCAGAGCCAGTTTAATGGCCAGCAGCTCACAATCTCCCACATCGTAGTTTTTCTCGGCTGGAGTGAAACGCCTAGAAAAGAAAGCACAGGGATGGAGCTTGCCATCAGAGACAGACATCTGGGACAGGATGGCCC